TTCATGCTAACAGAATTGATTCTCATTTTTTGTAGTCTTCACGAGTATTATAATGATATTGCTGGTCCCTGGAACTTTGCAATTAGCATGTTTTACCTAATATCTGAAAATAAATGGATCAACAACATTTAAATAAATATTCAGTAGCAAGGAACAGTAAATGTTGTATTTTAGAAATACTAGTAAACTATTTGAGATGATTGACTTTGAAAGTCATATTTTAATTGTAATTGGAATTGTTTTAGGTACAAGTTGTCTCGAGAGGAGGCGATGAAGATTGTAATAGATAACCTGAGTCAGAAGGATGTGGTGATTAGTGCCACCGGGATGTTGTCAAGGGAACTGTTTGAGTACAGGTAAACTTTATTTAAGTTACTCCAGAAATACCAAAACCTACCCTGTACTTTAAGTCTGCACATGGTACAATAAATATGTATTTTTTTTCTAAATCCAGGGTTTCCAAGGATATGGGTCATGAGAAGGACTTTTTAACAGTGGGGTCTATGGGGCACACCTCCACCATAGCTCTGGGGGTGGCCATGCAGAAACCCAGGAGACAGGTCTTCTGTCTGGACGGAGACGGCTCAGTCATCATGCATATGGGAGCCATGGCAACCGTCGGCCAATCAGATCAAACCAACTTCAAACACATCATTATCAACAATGGCGCCCATGATTCTGTGGGAGGACAACCAACAGATGCTGCCAACCATGAGGAGTTCTCGTTCTCAAAAATAGCTGAAGGTTGTGGATACAGAAAGGTAGATATTTTTACAGCCTAACGATGCAGATTAAGGAAAACAATCAAGATCTTATTCTTTAGTATCAGACAGAGTTCATCTTAAGTTATTAAGTTGGAATATCTAAGATGTGTGAATTCAAGTCTATCACATAGCATCCCTTCGGCCTTGGTATAAAATATACCAGTTTGTTCAAGTGAGGAGCCCTTTTTTCTAAAATAAATAAAGTTTTCCTATAATTTTTGTCCTGAATTTCAGACAATGGTAGCTGTTACCCCTGAGGAGGTGGCACAATGTGTACTGGACATGAGGGGGATGGATGGACCAGTCCTACTGGAGATAAAATCAAAAACGGGCAGTCGTAAGGATCTGGGTCGGCCCACTAGGTCGCCCATAGAGAACAAGGAGGACTTCATGCATTTCCTGGCAATCAATTAAAAATAGAATTTTTAGGGACAATTTTATGGTCAGTGTTTGAAAAGAGACTGGTTGTTCTGAGTATTTGGAATCTCTTTGTCAGTCTTTCATACATTTCTTTGATGAAAATGTGTTCAGAAATAGATTTTTTTTTAATTGTATGTCCCAATTTACTTACAATCAATCAAGCTCTGTATGCTGTATACATGTATGAGACCAATATTGTGTTTTCTGCTGCATTGATTTTAGCATAATTTTTTTTTAAGAATTTGTAATTACTGGTATATATCTTTTTGATACTTACATGGTACAATGTATTTATAGTTGCAAAACCATTTAACTTAATTGTCATTATATTTTTTACTGCTTCCTATATCCATTTAATGAGTATACATTGTTATTTCTTATAGTGTTATTTGTGAAGGTATTACTCTCATAAAGTTTTATGTAATCTTTTGACTTTAAAAGTCTCTTTTCATGTTATTGTAAGGGGTATAAACTCAGGAAGAGTTTAATATTTGTTTGTGTATTTTGTGTTTGTTTATTGTTTTTATTCTGATAAGAAAATGAAAGATTTCTTTTGTTTGTAATTTTTGTTTGTTTGTTTGTTTTATGTCTGATAAAGGATATGAAGAATTTTTTGGTTAAATATGCACTATTGAATGAATTACAGATTTAATACTTGACACTCTTGTCATACCTTCAAAATAGGGAATCTTACTTTTTTAAGAGTACATTTTAAAGCAGATCTACGTAATCCTTGTGAAAACTTGAGAGAGGGGTTTTATGATGACTTAGATTATCATAAAACTATAACTAAAACTATAGAAAAAGTAAGATTTCAGAAATGATCATTTTTGTATTTGTAATTTAAATAAGATGTATAAGATACTGAAGAAGTCACTATACTGTGGAACCCACTGTTTAACAGGAGTTATAAAAACAACAGTACATGAAATGCAACGCGCGAAGAAAAACATTGCTTTTTTAAAAAATATTAAAAAAAAAAAAAAAAATCACGTGTGCAAAAATGAATCGTCTACATTTGTTTTCAATTCAAAAAAACCAATAAATTAATTTTCGCCTCATTTCTGAAACACAAAAGTTTGTTTACAAGACAGAGGAAATTCGGACGACAGTGTCAAAAATAATAAATAACATGTTCATTACACAAAATTTGTAATACTGTAACGGAATTATATGTAGTTTAACTTTAAACAAAACATTGTTTGTTTATTCATCCGTTTTATTAAATTATGCATAAAAAATCTAGTTGTATCATTAAACATTGAGGTCAAGGCACAGAATACGCTACTGAAAAAGTCTCGATTTTTACAATAAACATACACTTTTTCGCAATACAATCTCTTTAAACATCTTTAATCTATCAAATTTGAGTACATACAGCTTAATCCAACACTTTGCACGAACATTTTTTTTTTCCGTGAAAACGGCACTTTTTGACAGCATTCACGGTGGGATTAATTTTACCCCCGAAAAATGACTGATAAAAACAACAGTACATGAAATAAGACAAGAAAAACATTGCTAGGGCTTTAATAGTGCTGTTCTATCTTTATCATATATTATGCAGGTACATTTTTGTGGTATGCGTCAAAACTATATGAATGTATTATATGTTATATTCATGAATATTTATTTGAATTGAACATATTTTATTGACAAAGAGTCAATAGGATTAGACACAAGTTCAAAAACTTAGGGAGTCTTCTCCTAATATTTATATAGTGTAGTATTTATTAGGTTTGATTTGTTTGATATAGTGGGGGTTGTTTTTGCATGCTTACATTACTGTATTTATTTGTAGTACAATTAGCAATGGAACATAATCTGTGGCAATTATATTTGTATGTACATCATTAATATGAAATTTTCCAAAGAGCATGTATAATTATTTTTTGTAAATTTATTTTCCTAATTTTATCCCATAAGAATTTAATTAAAAAATGTATCTCTTCTTTATTGAAACTGTTTCCAGGACCAGGATAAGAGCTTCAACTCAGAGTCCTATTAAGGTTTTAAGAAAAGCATGTATATAATGAATGGCAGCTAAAATATGACCTACAGATTGCCTTTTCAGTGGGATTTTTTTAGCTAGCAAGTGATGCATAAAAACCAGTGAGATCTTGTTTACCTGTGCTCAAACTATTAGTATTTATTTTTGCTTGTTGAGATTCGTGGAGTGTATATCACTAAGATTAGGATCTAATCTTTTTTGCATTAATTTATACTAACCAATAGCTCTTTATTTATTGATATTTGTTGCATATATTTACAAATATCAAATTAGGATCTTCTCCTTTGTATGAGCATTACTGTATGCAGGGTAATTTTCACCTCATTTTATATCCACCACACTTAGTTCGGTTGTAAGTCAATTACACAACAGTTGTGTTAAAAGAGAGAAAACTCTGATGTGTTGAAGGGAGATAACTTTGTTGAATTACCCAAATATGTTGAAAAGGTGTGGAAATATTGAATGAGACAACTTTTTCCATGTGTACAGTAATATTTATTATTCTAAGAATTTGTGTTTTTTCAGATATGTGGAATAGTTATATTTGTTTATTTAATCACAATGGTGTAATTTTTTACATTATTTGAATTATATAGGTATATATATATTCACACTTGTATATTTGCAATAAAACTTCAGAATCTTAGTAAATAAACATACTTAAATTCTGCAAGTTCTAGAATAAAATGTGTGGTGAAATTTTCTCTCTTTCCATATTATTATGAACTTGAGTTACACACACACATATATATATGTATATATATATATACACACACACACACAGCTTACTCCACTTATATTGAAATCGCTCAGGTTCTTTTTATTTTAGACCGCGATTGAACTTTAAAAAATTTCGCTTATATTGAATTACGGATATTATGAAATAATTTGCATGGTCCCTTGAATTTCAATATATCCAGAGTAGGCTTTATTTAGCTATAGTTGACCGATATAACAAAAATTCCATTAAATATTGGAGAGAAAAAAATCATATTAAGGGCAGAAGATAGTAAATATATGTAATTTTCTGTTGTGCTTTCCACACTAGAATGTCATATGTAGGTAAATGAAAAAGATTTTTGAATTAGTCACAGTATATTTCAACAATATCTTGAGATTAATGAAGCACTGTGCAATTTCTTACTGCAGTATAAAGCACTGAATGACATTTGAAATTTTCAAATTACACACTTGAATTCCTTTCAAGGCTTAAAAAAAAAAATCTATAATTCACTGTTATCATTATTAAGGCTAAATGGCAATTTTTTGTTCAAGGTCTTTCTGCGGGTGCAACATCAAAAGTTTTTACTGCACTGGTGCAAGTCCATCACACACAAAATATATATGTCAATATTTTGCACTTAACCATAAAAGCATATGTGATGAAAAAAACACAGCTTACGTGAACGTTGATGTGTCAAATTATCAGTTTTGCACTTCATTTAGTATGTTATCTCAGTCAAGTCAATATTTTACTGAAACCAACCAACCAATCAGCCTGTGATGTCTCTACAGTTCCCTTGGAATTATTTGCAATGCATTGTATTTACTTTGAAATAATTAATTTCTGTGGCAAGGATAGACCTATGAATTTATAACTGCCATTTGATTTAAAATTTCATATACTTTTACTTTTATACTTTATTTGCAATGCATTGTGTATAAACAAGAGAGACAACTATGTGTAATTGTAAAGAGAATGTTGAATGCTTGGAGATACAAAAGACAAATAAATTTATCATATATAGATAGTGTATTTGATATGAACATTAAATATAAACCAGGATTTAATATAAAAACTTAAATTATAAAAATTTCTTTGAGTAAAAATATTCATTCATGAGTGAAAATTCTTCTTTTAGAACATTATTTTAAAAATTCTTTTCTGTAGATACTGAACAAATGAACATACATTTATATAATATTAATTTTCTCAAATATAATGATACACTTATCATAGAAGTATAAATTTCACACATTCATGATTGCACACATATGATGAAATAGCTATTTACATATCACAGTTTTAAATGAACAATTCATACTCGGTACATTCAATCCTCTTTCACACGACAGACACATCCATACATCACTTGTAATTGTCAAAATTGTCACTCAAGGTTTCCATGTGATTACTCGGACAGCAATAGTGGCTGCTTTAACAACAGCGGGAATGGAGTCTGTTTCATGGGCCTTAATCTGAAATGGGGAAAAAATAAAGAAATTGAAATCACCAAAATAAACCAGTCTGATGAAATTAAACTATAAAATAACCTTATCTCTTCCAATATTTTATGTGTGGAAAACCCTTGTGTTCACTCCCAAGAAAAAAAAGATTCAAGGTGTATACATCACTCCTTACCTTTTCTAATTGTGATTTTTAAGCATTTCCTTATAGTTAGGTTACTATATTCAGACAAACAATTTACCCATTAAAATTAAATGATTGCTCTTACTAAAATATAGCATTTTCCTATGATTACTTTGGAAATACAAATGGAATTATCACACTATTAAAATCACTTTAACTAGAAATTATTTGTCTTCTTTTGCAAGGATCATAACTAATTTTTACCTTGATGGCATTTAGGTTCATGAGTGGAAATTTATCCATAAATTTACTGACTGGATCATCATTTTGAATGTGATCATCCACTAAATCTTAAGGATTTTTTAAAATTTTTATTTGTTTTATTTTTACACCTTTCATAAAATCTTACTCACTGGATCATCCATAAAGTCTTACTGAATGCATCATCCACTAAATCTTACTGACTGGATCATCCATAAAGTCTTACTGAATGGATCATCCACTAAGTCTTACTGACTGAATCATCCCCTAAATCTTACTGACTGGATTATCCACTAAATTTACCTTGATGGCATTTAGCCTGACTTCACTGACTGGATCATCCACTAAGTCTACCAGAGGCTGGATGGCTTTTCCTTCATTGATTGCTGTGTATTTACCCTTTGTTGTTATTGTAATCCTGTGGAAATCAATCATATGGTATACTCACTGAGTTACCTCCTCTTAAGGTTCATAAACCCTCTGCTCAATCATATAAAATGTTTCTTTAATATTTATGATTTTCAAAACAAAACGTATTTTATGAGTAAAATACAAACAATTATAGCATAGCTTTGCAATACACACTTAACTACAAACAAATGGAAAAATAACATGTTTATGATTTAATTTTCTCTCTACCAAATCATGCATGAATTCTTCAAACATTTTTCTTTTTATATATTATAAGGATTTTGCAAAGACTAGTAGGATTTACAATAACAATAGAAATGCTACAAGTAGGAAACACTTGTTTGACACTTAATTATAGAATCTTTATGATATTTTTTGACAAATTAATATATAGAAGCAATTTAAAACAATTTTTTACATGAACAATGGTGTCTTACATCATGAGAGCACCTGCTGCATTGGCTCGTACATCTGGCTCTTTGTCCTTCAGAAGTCTGACCAAGGATGGAACAGATTTCACTTCTACAGCTTTGTTCTTACCATCCAGAGGTACACTGTAATTCAAAACACATAAATAATTAAAAAATCAAATTTTAATAGTTTTCTTTACCTTATTCATGTAATTTTAAAAAAACAGTTTTGAGTTAGATACATGAAAAAAATTTCAAATTCTTCTTTCAATTTTATTTTTTGTAATTCTTTCTATGTCTGTGACAATTTTTATAACAAACAGACTGAATAGTCATCTGAGATTTACCTCAGATCCATGATATCTCTGGCAGCTTTAGCTCTGATCACATCAGAAGCGTGGTCTAGGAGCTTTGTATATGTTTCCATTGCTCCGGCCCCCAGGGCTTGTTGAGTATTCACTCTCATACAGTAATGCAGAGTGTCTAAAATCAAAATCTGCAAGATAAAAAAAATAACATTGATATTCAGTAAAATTACAATTACAATTAAGTCCAATATGTCAACTTAACATTTTTAAGCATGTACATCAGAATTTTTTTTTTCAAAATTATTTGCATAAAAAATTGTAAACCGGCTATTATTACAGTGTATAATATATTGTCTAGTTTAACTCCCTTCTTTTACTTATAAATACTTTTTACTGTAAATAAATTCATTCAATATATTTTTGATAAACATGGAATATGGTTTCATTTGTGATTTGTTTTGGTCTTGGATGAAATTAAAACTAATGAATGCAAATGATACTAATGTACCAAAAAATAGTTGGATTACAGTTACAAAATACTGGTAAATAAATTACTATAAACCAACTTTTATTCACGTGCGAGAAATATCCGCGAGTTTCATGACCAACTTTAACTCGTGAATATTAATTGCCATGAAGCATTTATTTTGCTCTGTATTAGTAGAGAATGGTTACTCAGTCGCAAAAAATTTCAAACTGACGAATCGCGAATAAAAGATGACACAAATAAAAGTATATCATTTTTTTTTATAGACATTGTCATATGTTTATCCCTGACCTTGATTTCATCTTTTTCTGATGACAATTTTTTCACAAGAATAGGAACTAAACTGGCTTCTACAATTCCTTCAGCACCTGAAAAAAATACAAAGAAAAAATTTATTAATTAAATGCAATGAAAATGTAAACCTTAATTTCTACATGTTAATTTTATATTTAAACATTCAACATGAAATTAACAATACAGTTCTTCTTCGCATAAAACCATTTCTATTAATCAAATTTTTAAAAGCAAAAAGATCAATTGAAATTTTACAGAAACTATGAATCTGGCTAATTTGAGATACATGTTACCATTTTGTCATTAAACTGTCAAATATTATGTATTTTCTAAGAATTTTTCCAGAAATATTCTTCATTTGGTTGAAATCGATCTATTTTCATAAATCTGAATGCTTGCATAAACTTTATGTTTAAGTAATTCAAACACATATTGTTCTACACTTAAAGGACTTGCTTTACATTACCAATATTATATTTGTGGATGTTTGGAAGTTAAAGATTCACAAACAATGTTTTAGACATTTACAAAGAATCAACTCCTGAGGAAAAAGCTGATCATGTAGTCACCAACAGTATGAAAATAAACTATAACTGGTTTAATACCCAACTGGAAGAAAAGGATTATAATAGTGTGAATTTTTCTACCTGGGGGTGTTTCAGAAATCATTTCTATTGCTTGGTGTGCATTCTTCCTGGCAATGTCTTCTTTATCATCAAACAATTTTGCCACTGGTGGTATGATAGCATTTTCCAAAAAGGCATCTCTACCTATTGCATGACCTTTCAAAAGAGTGTAATTGGGTAAAATAAACATTAATCATGCATTTGTGTAAATGAAGGTATTAAAACAGTTAAAAGGAAGATTCTTTATATTTATCTATCAATAATTATAGCACCCCAAAATAATAAGGACACAATCAAGGTTAAAACTTACCTCCAATTACATATAAACATTCAGTGGCTTTTTGTCTGACTGTTAAATCAGAATCAGTGAGTAGAGTTTTCAAGCTTTCTGCTATTCCTGAAAAAAATAATAACAATGCTTGATAAGAGAATCACAATTATAAACACATGTATCTAGATTAAGTTAAAATAATCATTTCAGTCTTAGAGGATTGAACAAGAATTGAAATCCATTTACACCATGAGCAGTTCAGTTATGGATGGAATAGATTGGATGGTAATTATAACAAATGAAATGTAACATTTTTCAGCATCAAAAGTTTATTTTACATTTTTATGCCACCAAATCCTGTCTGTTTGTTGTCAATTGTTGTCAATTTAACCGGTAAATGTAGTTGTTTAACCATGACTTTAATAACATAAGCACTTTGTGTGACTTATCTTTTTAATGCAACATAAAAGTTATTAGTCAATCCATAATTTTTCTTGTTTATGGGTTATATACTTTATAGGTTTTCATAATCCTGTCAGCAATTAAATCTTATTTTTGTTACTTGTACAATTCAGTAAAAAAAATCAATTTATTAAGCTTAACAAATATTCGAATATTTTTAATGTAAAAAGGAATATTATACAAACACTTGTATTACATACCAACTCTTAAAGCCTCTGCAATGTGTTCCGGGTCATGTAAATGGTCACATAATGACATCACAGCTCTTTGGCGAATCAAAAGAGTGGGGTCTTTCAATTCTCTATTCTATTAAAAAAAATCAAACTACCATATACGTATCTGCTGCATTATGACACTAAACAACACATAAATTCAATAATTATTTCTGTCCCGCATTTCCTCTAAATGGCAACAAATATTTTTTTTTTAATCCTACCAGTCTTGGAAGAGCTCTGTCTCCATAGGCCAAAGGTGTCCGTGTTGGATCGATATGAGGGGGATATAACGCAGAAATTACTGTCTGTGCCATTTTGTCACGTTTAATCGTAAACAATCACTTTATGCTGCTAATAAACACGAAATCTGTCGACATGAATTTACTCTCGTTACCAGTGGTGATAGCGATCAAGTAAAGCTACGTTCTTGTTTTCGTATTTATTTATTCAGTTATGGCTGGAATTGCATGTAATTTAATTCTCTCCAGAATATGTAATTTAATTTAAAGGAAGAAATAAAATATCGAAGAATGAAGCAAAAGTTCTAAATAAAAAAGATAAATACTGGCCTCTTAACTCCAGGTTTCGCACATTTATTTGTAGTCTGTCATGGCGGCCTTTTCAAGTCTCAGTCAATGACATAAAAAATAACGGATAAAAAGGTGTGCATTTTCATCGTATATATATTCATTTTGCTATTCATACAAATATTTACTCTTAGAACATTGAGTGGAAATTGGTTGAACTTAGGAAAATCAAATTTTCTTAGTTGAATACACCGTATTGAATTGCTGCATAAAGGGGAACAACTTTGGACACTTTACTCACAACGAAGAATACGTCATGTGCTTAAATTTGCGTGTGACATGTGGATAGCTTTTATAATTAAATGCAGTTTATTTCTGCGGTACTTAACTTGTAACATTAATTTATTTGTAAATTTCATTTAAATTCAAGCATTTTGCAGCCTGATGGGAAGACACAGGGGGTTTGAGGAATACTTAAGAAAAGCTGCAGATAAAGAAAAGAAAAAAATAAAAGAATCAGTTTTGGAGGGTAACAAATGCTCATTACAGTGCCAATAAAATCATATATTCATAAATCTACATAAATTTGTGTACCAACAGTTCAAAAGTTTATTTAAAAAAAGAGAGAAATAACAATTAATAAAGTCACTACTTTCTGATAGTATTTAGGGCTAGGTCAAAGTCTCCTGGAGGAAATGGTGCATTTCTTGTAGCTGGGAGCAAAGGAAAGACAGAAGCAACAGTTGACAGAAATGCCGTAGAGGACATCATGAGTCCAGCAGAAAGAAAATCAAGGGGGAGGAAAAGAAAAATTAACAAATCGAAAGAAGATAGGAAAAGACACAAGGTGCTTATTTCTTTCAAACACTTATGATACTGATAGTTTGAATATGATAGTAAATGCAACTATAGTTCATGCATTTAAAGTCAATGATTTTAAAAATGGTTTCAAATGCATGCAGTATAATTGTCTGTTTGCCTGTGAATACCAAAACAAGTTTTTCTATTTACCCTTATCACAAAATTAAAGATGTTTAGGAGATATAATGATTAATAAAGAAAAATGATCTGAAGGAATTTTACTCTCAATCAGCCTCTAGTGGAAATCTAATTAAATTTATATTTTAAAAGTTAATTTATATATAATTTATTTGTGTTTATGTACATTGTTTCAGTCAGAAGAAAAAATTGATCAAGTCCAAGCACACTCTGATTCAAATCTTAGACATGTAAGTGCTTGCAAGTACTAGTACCTAGGATATTATTCAGTGTCTGGAGAGTCAAGTCATTTTTAACACTTATTTCAAATTTAAAAAATTGTTCTTCAAGATACACGTGTACATTTGAAGCTATACAGGCTTTCTGTTGAAGGCTTTGAGATCAGCACGGGAACAAGATGAATTGCATGCCAAAAATGCCATCTCAAGAATTGCCAGAAAGCGAATGACAGTGAGTACTGTATATCTGCATGTATACCAAGTCTTCTATTTTTAATCATCTGAATTATTATTTACAATGTGTTTTCAATAAAATTATTTGAATTAGTGAAACAAGTAGCATCTGAATACAATGCCTTCTTGTATGTACTTGCTTATATGTGAAATAGTTTTACAAATTATGTTTTTTCAGAGACGACTTGGATTATTTAATCAAGGCAAAAAGTCAGAAACAGTTTCAAGAGGTTAGACACACTGTAACTATCTACTATTGAACTCAATTATCTCAAACACCAATAGCTTTGACAACTACCAAATTAAAGTGAGCCTGCAATCCCAACTTCTTTTTCTTTGAGTTGAATTCTCAGATATCTCAAAAAAGTTTAAACTTGGTCTTGTTGAGTTTGGGATAGCCAGGTTCAACTGTTTGTGTATATTATTCATTTTTCTACATGTTCAAGATACATGTTGACTTTTCCATTTCATTTTTTTTTCTTAGAATTGCTTTAGCTGAATGTTATAATGCAAGAATTGTCTTGTGAATTTTGACAGAATTTTATATTTTGAATGGAAAACGAAGAACTGCAGAAGAAGATTTAGAGGAATTTCTCCATAATAGTTCGACAGACAGATACAGTGACCTAGAAAGACATAACCCTAAAATATCATGGTTAGATGTTCCTGATTAATTTAAACATCCTTTTTACCACTTTAGTTCGTGAAGATAAGAGTTAGATTATTCACCTTTGTAATATATTTGATCTGCAGGTAGTGCATAAAATTAATTGTATGAAAACGTTATATATTAATTTAATCAAATTAATAAATTCTAAAATATTGAAATGATGGTTTTATTTAAAAAAGCCATAAAACAAATGAAAAGGAAAAGTTGACTGTGAATTCAGCAGACTTGAGTAGACCTGAGACAGGATACAGGAGCTGCTCAAGTACTCACACCACTACCCCCGCCTCCATTCACAGAACGTCTGCTCCTCACAGGTACATGTACTTTAAGTATTGTGCAGAATGAACTGTTTTATATTCATTATTAGTTTAAAGCTAAAACACAATATCTGTCACTTTTCAATTGTTAATTGAAGGATTTAACTAACTTTTTGGATTTTTTTTTTTTTTACAAAATACTGTGTTTTATTCATTACTAACTCTGTTACACAATAACTGAGAATATCAGATTTTGAGTCCTGTTCATAATACTGTTTATACCCCCCCCCCACCCCTTTTAAAAAATACACAGATAAGTATATGTATGAACAAGAGAACCTGGGCCACATCGCTCACTTGAGTAACTTTGGCCATGCTTTTGTTTTCCCTCAAAACACACATATTGTTTTTACTCTGTTTCTTATTATTATTATTATTATATATTCTTTTTTCTTCTTATTTCTTCTCTGGTACTTTTTTGTTCTGAAGTGTTCTCAGAAACTGTTCACCAAACTAAGTTAAAACCTTTTTAGGGTTAGTAGGCATGTTGTGTAGATGTGCCGAACGAAGGTCATTCTGCGCGCATGCACGTGCGGGCGCGTGCAATGATAAACTTTATATTTAATATGGTTGTAACTTTTATATTTTTTGATAAAATGTTTTGAAACTCATTATATAAAGATATATAAAACATCAGATGACATGGTCAAATTTGCATGAACTCACGCGCATGCACGTGCGCTTTGCTCTGATTGGCTGAAAAAAATCTTAATGTCTTTTTTGTTGTATGATGAAATGCTTTGAAACTTAAAACATAGACATGTATTAGGATGTACTACAATATGATATATAAAATTTTTCATGAAATCACGCGCATGCACGTGCGCTGCAATCTGATTGGCTGAAACTCTAAATGACTATAACTCCCTTGAATTTCAACCAAACAGCATGGGATTTAGAACATAGATAGACATAAAGGACTCCTACAAGTTGGTATGGTCACCATTCACATGCATGCACGTGCGTGCACGTGCGCTTTGCTCTGATTGGCTGAAACAAAAATCTCAATATCTTTTCTGTTTTTTTACAAAATGCTTTGAAATTTAAAACATATGCATACTTTAAGATGTCCTACAATATGATTTATAATAATTGTCATGGAAACATGCGCATGCACGTGCGCTGCAATCTGATTGGCTTAAACTTTAAATGGCTATAACTCCCTTGTTTTTCAACCAAACAGGATGGGATTAAGAACATAGACAGACATAATGGACTCCTACAAGAAGGTATAGTCATCATGTACGTGCCTGCACGTGCATATGAGTAAAATACTGTAGACAGGATGATATCGTCATTACGCTCATGCAATCACATGCACACGCCTGCATTGCTTAAATTTGAAATACTTAGTTTACTTTTGGGAAAACGTTGTTTACGTCTTAAAAATAATTTTGCCTTCTTTTGAAACTTACAGGGAATATGGCACAAGAAGGGATTTGGGAAGCGTTTGGGGAACATCTGTAACGGTTCCCGTTACAATTAGCACTAGTTATATCTGTTGTGACCCCAGTCTACACCCAGGGTTCATGACTGGACAATTTAGAATTTACATTACCCCAGCATGCTTTCACATAAGTTTCAGCTTTTCTGGCCCAGTGGTTCTTGAGAAGAAGATTTTTGAATGACCCCACTCTGTTTTTGTCTTTTCTCGATTATCTGTTCTTGTAAGGGGACTTTGCCCTTCATGTAAACTCCCTTTACCCAAAGATGCTTTATACAAAGTTTGATTAAAGTTTGCCCAATGGTTCTTGAGAAGAAGTTGAAAATGTGAAAAGTTTATAGACGGACAGATGGACGGATGACAATGACAGACAATGGGTGATCAGAAAAGTTCACTTGAGTTTTCATCTCATGTGAGCTATCGAAAGTGGCATTTTATAAAATTGGAAAATGCAGGAAAGAAACATTGTAGTTTCTCTCTTTTATTTAAGAACTTTCAGTGTCTTATTTGTTTTTCTTGCAGTATTTTGAGCCTTGCCAGTAGTTGTGGCTCAGCATTAAGAGAGGACCATGAACAGGTTAGATCTTTCAACGTTTAAACTTCATAATTCTTACTGTGCAGGTGCAACAAAATAAAACTATCATAAAAGTTGTAAATATAATGTTCATTCAGATATATCATATAACTTTTATCCATTCAAGGAAAAATTTATTGTGTAATAAACAGTTTCCTGTGATCGTCTTTGCAATATACAAGTATATACTTTACAGTATCTTAAAAAAGGTTTGGAAATTATGGCTTATTACTTAGTATTTCAAATGCAGAACGAAACAGTTAAAAAAAAATTGAATATATATATATATGTTTCATTTCTGTTTAAAGTTATCATCTATAGAGAATATTGTGGATAAAGTTCTATCTAAGCTCAAACCACAGAAACTTTTTCCAGAAAGAGGTATAATATCTTTTTTTGTTTAATCTTAAAAAAGAACTGGATTGAGATAGATTTTATAACTTTAATCGAAAGATTTTCAGACACTCATATAGCATCATATGTATTTGATATGAAGTACTTAATCTTTTTTTAATTAAAAATGTAGATTTTGTCCAAGAAACCACAGACGAGCTAAGAAGTATAATGAGGAGAAAGTCAGTACATATGTATTTAAATATGTCAGATCAAGTTATTTCTTCATTTCAAAAGTCATTTTAAATGTCCAAAATAAAAAAAAATCCATTCAATTCAATTAAGATAATAGTTTTTTCCATGAATATGATATTGTATAATATATATTGAAAGACAATTTTGACAAGTTTATGAACATGATACTTGGTTTTTGTTTAAAATGACATTTATGCACTTTCAATCACATTTTTGCTGTTTTATAGTGCACAAAGATCATCTACACCTACGCCATCCCTGCGAATAAATTCATCTATCAAGAGATCTCTGTTAGACAGATATCTGACGCCAAAGAAAGGTAATATTAATCAAATTTATAATAATTGACAACTATTTCTGTAGAAATGTTTGTGAACTGCATCTCACCTTACAGTGATGGTGCTGATGATGTAGACTAAGATATGTGAAATTTTATATTGTTAGGTAAAACATGCTTATATAACAAAAGTTTCAGGAATGGATGAGTTTTGTTCCTTTTAAATAAATTATATTTTGCTAAATCCTTATATTTGAAAGCCAGGGAAAATGAAAACGTCTTTGCTGTAAGCAACAATTCATTGCAAGCTTGTTTGCTATAAGCATGTTTTACTGTACTTGTATTATTGCAGTTTTATAAATTCTGTACCAGTAGAAGTCTAGCTTATTAAGTTGTAGAACCTTTGCCTTTTTCTTTTGACTTTGTCAGTAAAATATGTTTAATTCATGAAATTTATTTTTTAAGATGAGAATAAGGAAAAAAGAGACCTGACAAAAGATACCGGTACTGTGTCTCCCACCATAGTAAATTCAATACCAAAAACAAAAGAGGTGAACCAACCAAAGCAGTATGTAAAGATACCAACCTCCCCTAAAGAAGTACACAGGTCCAATTCACACAAGGCCAATAGTCCACCAAACCTGCCCGTAGTACAGAGAAAGCATGAACATTTCTTCCATGATCTGTCAGACATTCAAAGTGATGCCCAAACTCTGCTGGAATGCCATGACCAGATGCTGGCAGAGGCCAACAGATACATGATAAAAGTGACAGCAAGGAGAGAGGAAATTTTCCTGGAGGATTTGTGTAATGCAGATGGTCTGGACATCCTGAGGAAGCAGGATGAGCATGCCAGGAAGCTACAGGAGCAGGATTGGAGGAGGAGTAAGGAGGAGGACAGCTGGAGGAGCCTGTTTCCTGAGCAGAATGAGGTCCGGTCCTCATCGCAGACCTCCTCAATGTCCTCAGGTTACCAGGGCAGTCAGATACTCAGGGACACAGGGAGCTGCAGGACTGAAACAGTAGGTCTTCAAAGGACTGACTTTATTTCATTAAATTTATTTAAAGCCTTTCATACTTCATCTCTTTGTTTCTTTAGGAGTAGGGATAATGAAGAACTTTAATAATGTTTCCCAAAATCTAAACTTTTGCAATTCATTTTGATTCTCAACTCTTAGAAGATACATGTAATAGACATACAGTTTGGTTGGAATTATACTGCAAAAACATTTTCTCTTTAGTAACAAATACGGTTTGTCTTCTTGTAGGTACCAGCATATGCAGCATCCATCCAGTACCCAGAGTTTATGCCACAGTTTCATGACCAAGACTACTACAGTGGAAATCACACGAGTGGAATGTCAAGTAAAGTATGCATCAATTTTAGATATAAAGCTAGCTTAGAAAATGTCCCATTTTTATATGTATAAAATGTTATAACATCTGCAATAACTGATTAGTAAAATATTCTTCTCGAGCTTCTACCGGTAATTGTTTGTATCAAACTGTCCATGTGAACCCATTAACTTAAATTTAGCAACATTATACTTTACAACAGACTTATGGCAAACACACTTATAATTTAATGAATTGATGTTTTATATCAAAGGGATTCTCATTCCTCTTCAAAATACATCCTGAACATTACAGAAATAACTAATAATGTTTTTCAAGGAAACAAAATCATCCATTCAACTTTGTTAATTGTTATAACCCCATTTTGCTGTAACATGAATATAATTTGATATTTTCAGATTAAATCCTTGGATATCCTGGAAATCCTTGACAACAATGAAGTAAAAACTCATCATCGTCCTTCAAGTCAGGATGCATACATCAATACTTCAAATTCCTTATCTAGCAGAGACATTATTGACAACCTTATCCAAGATATTGAGGTCCCCAACAGGACTCACACCATGAATAGGGATAGGATTAGTCAGCAAAAATCCCCCCACAGGGCCTCACAAGAGGAGTACCATTTCTGTCTAAAGAAACCCAGCTTAGACACACCTAGTCCCCCAGAGGAATTGTTCAAAAAGCACTCACTCATTCCTTAAGGCAATCAAAAACATTTCTTAGTAAAAATAGGAGCAATTCAATACACTCCTGTCTCAAAAAATCAATGGTGAGAAGTATGGCATATACAGAACAGGTGCAACTGGTAAAATAATTTTTTAATGTGGTGGGATGACTTTCTTTCTCAAGCCTTTTATTTTGTGCATGTAATTTCAATGCACATGTAATTTGAACATGTACATGTCGAGGTGTATATCTGTGAGGGACAAATCTGTGATAATTGTAATTTTTACCATTGATTCAGTTGTCAATTTGTGTACTTTGTTGATTTATTTATTTCTGCAACAAGTTCTGTTGAATTAAATGTCTCTATTAGCAATCTAGTACAAACTTTTTAGACTTATTATATCTAGAACATCTTTATTAATTCTAAATCAGAAATCTAGTAGGTGACAAACTTTATCTTTCTTAGGTTCCATCCAAGGCACATTTTTGTTTGTAGAAACTGTTAGTATTGGCCAATTTTTAAAAACTTCTTAGTCATTTCATTACTGTGGTTTTATGGGAGATAACTCTGAAACTACCACAAATTTCAACTAGGGACATTTAAAAACTATGACCATGCAATGTTAATAGTTTCTAAGAACAAAATTTTGCCTTTAGAGGAACCTCAATACCATAAATAAATAATTTACTGGAAACAAAGAATGTACATGCATCAACAGTACTATTTAAATTTTAGCACCAAATGATATTGATTCAGTATTCCTTGCAGATTATTTGGACTGCAAATGATCCAATAAGGAGAGCTGTACTAATGTACTAAACAGTAGCTCAGGTTCATGTCTATACATTTATTTTCAAGTCCCCTTGTTACAATCATATTCTGAATGATCTCCCTTCCAACAATGCTTTGATTGGCATTATCTTTACATCACATTGCTCTTTATATTATTGGATAACAAATACAATATTGATAAACACGAAAAGAATTTACTGAAATGAATTGATTTAATCTTCTTTTCATTCATCATTACAAGAATTTGGACTTCTAAGAATAAGAATATAATGATTTAATATCAGTTTATGGTAGCTCTGGAGGTTCTTCATCAGAATCAAATTCAACATCTTCATCTTTGACCCACTCCCCTTTCCAGTTCTTCTTCCATCCTCCTCTACAAAAGCAAATACAATCAATATAAGAATTATCTTTACACTTTATGTAAGGATTAAGAAGATTTTGAACTACTTTTCAAGACTTGAAAGAGGTATAAATTTGTCGGGAACAAATGACGATCAGAAATACAAGATATTTGAAGATACAGGCCCAGCAATATGAATAAGGAAATGCATGTAACAACACCTACCCTCTGTAATACAGGTATTTGTCTGCTAACTCCTGTTTTTCTTTTAGTTGTCTTTCATCCTCTTCACTTCTTTGTGGTGCTGTCTTTTTATTTTTGGATTTTGACAAAACTTTCAGATTGTTTGTACTGGTAGATGTATTTGAAGGTTGCTGAGAGTTATTTTGAATGTGATTAGGGACTAAACTTTCTGCTGGTATTAAAGTGTCATTGCCTCTAAACTGTTTAGCACAATTTACCATGCCAGTGTCACATGTCAAATTTCCTGTTGCTTTCCTTTTGTATGGCACAGGGTTAAAGTAATTTGTTTTTGGTGCAGAAAAAATATTCTTCAGTTGTTTTTCATGGAGAAAGGGTCCCTTCTGGCCAAGAAAATGTTCCCTGAAGTTTTTGTTGCTTTTGAACTTTTCAGATTCATTATCTCCTACGATATCCTCTTTTTTCTTGCACACCTCATTAGTTGAAACATCTTTCTTCAGAATACTAGGTACAGTTAGAGATGAATTTGACAATCTTTCTCCTGGGAGGGAAGATACATCTGTAGCAGCTGGAAATTCACACTTGTTTGTCACACTAGCATTGCTGGATTCCCCCAAGCTTACTCTTGTTTTTTGGGAATGAAACTTTTTCTTCACTCTGGGGTCATACTTGTGTCCACAACCTAGTCCTTTGTGTATTATTGTTGCCTATAATATTTAACATGAACTTAACTGAAAACATGCAAGTAAAAGTCTGTGCATAATTTTACGAAACACTCTTGCATATAAACACCTTATAATATGGTTAATATTTTTAAATTCTTCAATTCTATTCTTATACATCTAATAAAATAAGGCCATATGATTTGCTATAATCCAAACCTGCTGGATATTTGTAGTTCCATCTTTTAAGTATTGTTCATGTTTTCTCTGCTTTATAAGCATTTCTAGCTCATCCTTCTTTGCTTGAAACTGTTCCATATCTAAAGTAAAAAATCCAAGCATGTAAAATTTAATTTCAAGTTCTGAATTTGTTTACAACCAAATAGCCAATTTTGAATCACTGGTAATTTTGTAATAAAAGTAATGAATATACAGAGTATTAACAATGTTAAAAAAATTAAGTTCCTATAGCAGATTTACAAATATTCAGCTAACATACAAGCCTCATGTTTCTTTCCTTTGCGATGCTGTGACAGCATGATCACAGTATCAAATACTGGTCTGTTGGTACAAACAAGGCAAGCAAACCTGAAAGTTAAAAAATAACCATTGAAAAAAATATATTTAATTTTAATATTTGGTCACTTCATTATAATAGTGTTCTAAATGTTTCTCTCTTGATGTAAGCATGCTTTCTTTACTTAAGGAGGCTGGGGAGTCAACAAATTAACCACAAATTAACCACCAGATTTAACTAGTTTTTTTAGATACAGTATCTTAAGCTGTCAACTATCATTTGGCAAAGAAAAAATTCATATATTTTAGTTTAAAAATTTGATCATTTTTGTATATTCTTATATGGAGCTCTTCTTTTAAAGGAGATCAAAATAGTCTGAAAATGGCTGCCACCCCCCAGCCTCTTTAAATTCTCGTCATATTTCCTATTTTCACTAAATTTGCACTATTTCATATAGTGCTAAATCATGATGATTCATCAATGCTTAATTTACCATATTTTTATTTTACTGTAGGACATAAACGCTATTGTTTATTCACCTTCCATTACTTGTTAGTAAGGCCTCATCCTCTGGAATGTCTTCGGCAAACAACTCCTTTATTCTTCTTTTCTGCCAAATATGAATTATACATGTTAATACATGTACCTTTTGTCAGAACTTGGCCTTATTCTATCTAAAATTTTTATTATTAATTCAACAGTATGCAACAAACTTATTACATGTATTATATCAAATAGACAATGAGCTAGCGAAAATTTCATTCTCGCATTTAAAAGTATTCCTTACGATTATATAGAAGAAAAACAACAATTCGTGAAAATTATGTCTCGCTAAGAGTCAATGACTATCTCGCGAAAATAAGATGTCACGAAAATTTAGTGATCTACAGTACGCTTAATGGAGTTTTAGAGGCTGGTGTTATCAGAGGTCATTTTCAAGCATGTTTGTTCAAAGTTGGACAGATATGGCTTAGAGCACCTGATGAGTTCAGGGAAATATATCAGTATGATCTTGGTATGATATGCTTGACTTTCTCCCTTCCTACTACTTTTACATTTTAATATGACAGAAGACCCTCCCAAATCAATTCACAATGAAATATCTTACATGTTTCTGCAAGTGATTAAATCAGCACAAATGGCACTGTAGTCATTGACTTACATGCAAGAAAGAAAAGATTAGTTTTCATCAGACACATTATTATGGAACTTCTCCTTTTACCATTCTTTGACATTATGTAACGTTAAACCTTAGAACAGATTGAGATGGTTCTACTCTCAGATATGGTATCATACATGTTAACTCTACCGATTAAGGCGGGAGTCTACCGCTTTTTCTCTCCATCTCCCGCCTACCGATTTAATTCAGAAATCTACCGCTTTTCTACAAAAGTTGCGTCTTAAGTATTTTTGGTTCGCTTGGGAATCCATTTTTGAAGCCACTCTCATAAAATCTCGTTGGATATCGCGTGATTTGTCTCGGAAGCATACAAACGCTTTTTTAGTACCGCTGTGTACATATATTTCAAGCACGAATTTGACAACAACAACAGCACAAGATTACCAGTGATTACATTGGTTACGATAAATTTAGTCAACATCACTGCCATGAACAAGGAGATACAGCTTTTAAGAATTCGATGAAAACATTTGACATCATCTATAAAAGCACAGGAGCTCACAATTTTATCACAAATTCAATAGAAAACACTCGATTAACCAAGCCATGTGGCACATCTCTACTTTCGTTTTCGATCATCGCGGGAAATCTGATTTATATAACGAAAAATAGGGACTTGTTTTAGATCAAGTTTAAACCATGTCATCATTTGTTTTGTTTAACTACTGAATGAACATTTAGAATTATTGCCTCTAGGCTATATCAGCAAAGATCACTCTTCAAAATGCTAAGTTAAACAGCCAATCAAAGCAAAATGATGAGCATGAAAAATATTTGAATTTTTACAATTTATGTCAAACTTAAGGTGTTTCTGTCTTCTTCTTTGCAGTTGACATTTAAGATAAATTATTGTAGGATTCATTTAAGGCTACATACATGTATATTGCATGAAATATATCTATAATCCAAGCGTAAAACAACGCACGCGCAATGCTACCGCTTTTGAGGTCTGAATCTCCCTATTTTTCATCACAATAGGTTAACATGTATGATGGTATATAATGGAAATAAATAAAGTGAACCCAGCAAGCGCCACTCGCACTAACAGCTCTAACAAAAACACCTGGGTGAAGAGAAAATTAGGATTTTGCATATTGTTCCAATCCAAATTATTTTTTCCTGCATTTATCTCTAGAACCACAACCCCCTAAATAGCAAATAGCTTCTTGTCGAAAAACTACATTCTCACAGTAACAAGAATTTCCAAGTAAATAAAGAGTACTTATCTTGATTTAATAGATAGCAGGGGCTGACAAATAGATTTTTCAAATCTGGATCACATACGAAGTGTGACAAACAAAGGAAGATAACTCTTACAACAAAATAATTTTAATTTCGTGGAAAACTATGACATTTTAAAAAATATTTATTGACTGATCTTTTTTAAAGTCACTTGCCCTTGGACAAGTGCCTATTAAAAATTCACTTGCCCGCCTCTAAATCTCACTAGCGCGGGCGTCGGGCAATGGGATTTGTCAGACCCTGGATAGTAAATGAATAGAAAATTGAGCTTTTTAAAAATTAATTTAAGCACTGTCCAGACTTTGAATTGGTATCGTAACTTACTAACTTACATACATGAAACGTCAAGTGTCTGACATCAGACTTACACGCGAGGCCTTCTTGTGATGTTGGCCTACTGCCTAGCACCCAAGGCCTTCTGAGTGCAAGCAGCTTCAGTTGTGCTTGTACTCAGAAGGCCTTGGTTATTAGGGTACCTGAATGTGTGAGTCTAGACATAACAAGTATTGTGCACAGTTGGAAGCCTCATTCTAAATTCAACACAGAGCAGGTATCTGTGCTAGGCCTAATGATGGTACCGTGAACATATAATATTATCAGGATTCATAAATATGCATTTAACATATGTTTAACGTATGTTCAACATATATTTATTTCAAACATACGTTTAACATATGTTTTGAGTTTGACACTTTTTACAATAAAACGTCTTCAACGTAAGGAAATGTTCAACAGCTCAATTTTCCTGCCAACAAAGTTGAGAGTTACCTTACATTTTAAATAACTTATAAATTAAATTCGTGATAGACTAAGTTCAGTTATCCACATTAATTTCTGGGTTGCATGTTTTTGGACAGGATATACCATTTGTAGACCCCCCCCCCCCTCACGCCTTCCTGGCCTAAGAAAGAAATCCTGGACCTGTGCCTGCTTTAAAGCCTAATATAAATTACACGAAATTTATTTTATGTTAATTTTAAACAAATGGACTTCAAGTAAAAAAAAAATAAATTCATATATTAAGATGAATTTGAATATATATTTATTTACAATAATGTAGATGCTCATTTCTTGTAGACGCCCACATAAAAAAGGAAGGATGTCTACTCTGTTACTCTGTACCCTCACCCCCATCCTCTTCAAATCTTGATCATAAAATATTTTACTTTTTTTAAGCTAAATTTATCAGGTATAGACAAAATGTTTTCAACTCATTAATTGTATTATATTACATACTCTCAACACTCCTAATTGGTTGGTATCGTCGCCATCTCTCTTAAATGACATTTCTGTAGTGAGTAGTAAGCTTTGGTTGCAATTTAACGTCTACTTCAGTGTGTGTCTGGCGTGTCTCACTGTCTGGTTGGTTGTCAGTGCTTTACATATTGTTTCCACTTTTTAAGATCCTGATCCCGATGTATAATAAAAAAGAGCACTGATAGAAAAAAAAATTCTGCCATAAAATGAGACAGGTGACACCTGTTAAATAAGCTTTGGTAAATAACTATGATTAACTTATTATTAATGATATTTTTAATGTAATAGAGTAATTACTGTCTTTTGAATTTGCTTCCGGTATCAAAATCGGGATCGACATTCTTATATTGCGGACTTTTCTCGAAGCCGACGAAAAAGAAAGTAGAACAAATATTTTTGGTGCACGTGCACAAATTAAGTGATTTTCCCTCATAAAAACACAAAATATTCAGGAACATTTAGTTAAATAATGACACAAGAAGTCCATGAGCCGACAGACATTACTCCAGACAAGGATGGGGGAGTTATAAAGCAGATTTTGCGTGCGGGAGAGGGGAACGATAGCCCGGTACCAGGGGACAAAGTATCCGTTCATTATGTGGGGACCCTGGAAGACGGAACACAGTTTGATTCAAGTCGAGATAGAGGAGAATACTTTGAATTCGATCTTGGGAAAGGTAAATTATATAGCTTAATTTAAAATTACTGAAAGAAGATGGAGATGAAAAGGAAAAATATATAGGCCTATAAAAAGGGTCACGGAGCTCTCTTTTTATTAGGTTCAGGGACTCGTATTTTCCTTTAAATAATGTATAATTGAACATATTTTGTCAGAGGATGTTGAGCAAAATATCATTGGTTGTTAGTTAATTTACAGAAATGGGTTCCTAATGGAATCGGTTATGTGGCCATTGAAATGGGTTCTTAATGGAATTGGTTGTATGGCCGTTCTATAATTTTGATAATTATTCCAAAATATTTCATGTTTTTTAACCAAGCCCCTAAGTAAATATTCTTCTTTCAACGTGTTAAAAAGGGAAGAAAATTTCATGGAAAGCAGACTCAGTTCATGATATACTCGTGCAAAAATAGAAAGCAGGAACTATTTCAGAATTAAGTTCTTAGATTCTATTTTTGTTTGTTGGTTGTGGATCTGTTACATGTCTCATTTATCTTTCCATCCAATCATGAGATTTATATTTATGTAAAGCTAGAAGAAAAGTATAATAGTGTTCATCTGCAAATCTCAATTGATATTGAGAGATGCTGAATTAGAAAAGGAGCTGATACTCCAATCAAAGTTAACAGTTTTAATCATTCTGTAATTTTAGGGAGTGTCATCAAAGCATGGGACCTGGGAATTGCCACCATGAAAAAAGGAGAGCTAGCCAAGTTCACCTGCAAACCAAAGTATGCCTATGGAGAAACCGGATCCTTACCAAAGATCCCAGGCAATGCTACCCTGATATTTGAAGTGGAACTTATCAGTTGGAAAGGTAGAAACAATGAAGCAATTATGATTACATGATTAGACTTTGATGTCACACTTTCAAATATCCAATAACCTATATCCTTTTGTTGCCATTCAAAATTATATTTCAATGTTTACTTTACCACCTTAAACCCAGTGAATAGAATTCAATAATTTAAACAATAAATTCAATTTTCATTTGAGATTGTTGATGATAAGCGGTTTTTCACTGAGAAACTCGTACCTTGGTATCAAAATGATGTTACATACAGTCACATTTTAATTGCAAAAAGATGTATGAAGGAGGAATGCTACAACTAAATTTTATTTTATGAATGGTTAACATATTCTTTTTCCAAAAAATATGGTTTCAGCATCATGCACTATTAGTTTTTTAAAATAATATTTTCCATATAAGATGTGAAAATTGTTTTACATGTATTTGCTAATTAAACTCTCTAGACTTTCACACTGTTAATAAATCCAATATTTTCTAATAAAACATGTCAAGAAGAGTGAGAAAACCATTTAAAAATTTTAATGTTTTGGTACTTTTCAATGAAAGTAAAATACATTCAATATTTATGTCAATGAATATTTTTTATACTTACAGAGAATGTGACCAAGAATCAGGAGTCTAAAGGTTACAAGAATGCCATCTCCTGGATGAAAATGGCACAAAAATAATTTTATAGAATAATACTGATACACTGCTTATCTTTTCTGAATTTGTTGACTATCAAGCAGAAAATTTTAATTGTGGGAAATCATCATAGCATAATTGTTATTGATACTTATTTTATATTTAAAAAACTAAAATTCTGGCTTTATTTTCACATGTTTGATACATGATCATAATATGCTAAAATGGATTTATTAATAGCAAATTGAAACCCTTAAGCATCTTACATCTTACAAATAAAACAATTGCTACATTGTCTCTAGAAAATCATGACCCCCGGGGGAAGGGCAGGGCCACAATGGGGAATAGAAAAATTATTACATAGGATATCCCAAAACTGTCATAAAATTCATATAATGTAATGGAGCTTATGTCAGTATTTTCACGATGAAACCCTAGTTAAAAGCATTCCTCCTTAAATGGAATTTGAGAGAAACATTAGACTGAGTTTTGTGCCTAGAATCAAAATTAATATATGGCCAATATCAGCCTTAAAGAGAAATTCTTGTACAGTCTGTGCTGATATATATACAGTGAAACCTGTCTAATCAAACGTGCACTGGGAGACAAATGTTGTGTCGGAATAGACAAGGTGTCAGATAGCACAGTGTTAAAAACATGAAAAATAGTAAAAAGGGAAAGAAATAAAATGTTGGAATTCACAGTGTGTCGGATTGCACAGGTGTTGGATTAGACAGTTTTCACTGTACTACTATTTTTGCACTATCTGATCAATTAAAATATGTATAGATTTATTCAGTAAAATTGTGTTTCATGGGCTAAAATTTTCAGTGAATACTTGAATTTGCTAGTCTGTAGTCAATAATTAAATGTATTTCCTGTCTAGCTTGTAACACGAGCTTTGATTGGTTACAAAGTCATGTGTAAAATTCTGTACACCTGACTTCAGCCGGGGGTTAAAAACATGACGTCACAATGCAAAGTTTCTGTATGATCAAAAGCAAATAAGAGGACGTTACTATATGCATTGAAGGAAGTAGTAATTTAGGAAATCTTATGTCGATAGCTTGAAACACAGTTTTACAAAGAATTATTTAGGTACATAGGAATTAATTTGTTATCCAGGTCCAATCAAGGGTGTACGGGGATTTACCCAGGGTTGTATTCCACACACCCTTCGGCCTCAGGGTGTACGGAATAAAACCCGGGGTAAATCCCCGTACACCCTTGTTTGAACCTGGATATTTAATAGTATTTCCTAAAACTGTCAGTAAATACATGTATTTACTGATTGGTTTAGGAAAAGCATGAAATTCCTGATTTCACATATTTTCATTTGCCACAGGACTAGCAAAGAAATGGACAATCTTTTACAATAAGTATTAATGATAGTTAGCAATGGTATAAAAATTGGTTGAATATCTTCCTGCATAATCATAATAATAGAATATGATGTATCTGACCCAGTTATGTATCTGTCACTTAGGTGAAGATTTATCTCTGAAGGCTGATGGGTCCATTATTCGTCATATCACCACAAAAGGAAAAGGTTGGAAGAATCCAAATGAAGGAGCACAAGTTAAAGGTAGAGAAGCTAGCTGATTAAATCAAGTTTAAGTAATTTTTTAATGCTTCATTCTAACTTTGAATCAAAGAGGAAATAAATTTTGCACAGAATGACACATTACAGTTTCCAAGCATTAAAAACATATTATTTTTCATTAAAGTTAGAAAAATTACCATAACTCCTTAGATTTGTATACATTTATAACTGGTGCATTGCAATAATTAAGATTAATTTAATTAATTATCATCTTCAAATTTCAGTACACTATGTTGGTAGACACGGAGAGAATGTTTTTGAAGATCGAGAGGTAGAATTTTGTATCGGGGATGGAGTCATGTCTGATGTCATAGAGGCATTAGACATAGCCATCAAGAGAATGAAGGAGGGAGAAAAATGTCGCCTGGATGTCAAATCCAGCATGGCTTATGGATCCAAAGGGAATGAAAAGCTAGGTGTACCTCCAAACGCAGACCTCGTGTATGATGTAGAACTACTCAGCTTTGAAAATGTAGGTGGTTAAGCAATTTTAAGAGATACATATATTTATATATATATATATATATATATATATATATATATATATATATATATATATATATATATATGTTTTTCTTAATATCTGCAATGTAAAGCTTGAAAATATCTTAGTGGCTTGAAATGGGATACAGTTAAACCTCATTATTTTGCCCCCAATCAATATATCTAGGGTTTGAGATATACAGGTTAAAATGCATGAAGAAAAAGTGAAAGGGACTTACATAGTACTCCAGATATTGATGATTGATATACCATCATTCAATTGAAATTGAAAATAGTGAATTGAGTATATAAGTAAAAATAAATCATATATGATTGACAATGCTTTTTTGGTAACTATAAAAGAATAGAACAGTTTTTTATGTCACTTATATGTCTTATTAGGCAAAAGAAAGCTGGGAAATGGAGCCCCATGAGAAACTTGAACAGTCAATCATGGCTAAAACAAAGGGAACAAAATTTTTCAAGGTAAAATTTGCAATTATTTTATGCAATTGTCAATATTATAAGTACTTGTAAATATGGAATCAAAAGACACGCTGTTTCTATTTTATATTTATACAGGAAGGCAACTACAAAATTGCTATGAAATACTATGATAAATGTCAGAAGAACTTGGAGTTTGAGACAACACTGAAAGGTGATGATGAAGAAAAGAGGAAAGAAATCATCGTTCTAGCTCATCTGAACATGGCCATGTGTCAGTTGAAGATGGAGCAATACTTCAAGGCTCGGGACCACTGTAATAAAGCACTGGAGCTGGACAATAAGTGTGTCAAGGCGTACTTCAGGAGAGGGCAGGTAAGCAGAATAGCAATGACAGGGTACAGGTGAGAAAATATATGTATTCATCTTATAGAGTATGTGTATTTTAATACAAAATCTGCAAATTAAAGGATCTCTTGGAATATTAGATATTTAGTGGAAATGGCAATATTTAAGCTTTTGGGACTAGAACAGAATCAAAATCTGAAAGTCATTTCTGATAATCATAACATTATAAAACTGCAAAAAGTAAGTCATAATCTTTTAACTTTGGTAATTTTTTTCAAATTTCAGGGATATTTTGCTGAAAATGATTTTGACCTAGCTAAAAAGGATTTTGAGAAGGTTTTGGAACTAGAGCCAGACAATAAAGCTGCCAAGAACCAGGCAAAAATTTGTGAACAGAAGATCAAACAGTTTGACAAAAAAGAGTCTCACAAGTATAAGGGAATGTTTGACAAATTCGCTGCAGAGGACGCAAAAAAGGTATCAACAGCTCATTAATTCGGCCTTAATGTAGGTTGAACGTTTTTGGCTTTCCTGCTTTAATATTTTGATTTTTCTCTAGGCCTTCATTCTAAATTTTTTGTTTGTTTGATGTACTCTGACAATCCTCATAAAAAAAACCAGAATACTATGTTTTCATTATTAAAAAACAACTGACAGCTTGGAAATAACTTAATCAATAGAACAGAGAAATGATAGGTCTTATCTTTAAAAAAGTTACAGATAAATTGTTATTTTACTGTAACAAGAAAAATTGAAGAATTTATCAAAACTATTGGATAGAGAAATTATTTGCAAGGGGTAATTTAAATGGTTTAGTCTGAGTACATCAAACAAATACCATATAGCGGGTTATTTTAGTGGGGTGCCATTTTTGGCGTATTTTGGCATTTTGATGATAGTCGGCTAAAATTTTAATCGCTAAAACAGTCAGTACTCTAATTAGTGTTCATCTGCAAAGAGTTTAAACCCTGCTACCGCCAAAATAAATTTCGCCAGAATTATTGGCATACCTCAGAGCAGGCAAAATGCCAAATTTTACACCCACCAAGAAAACCTCATATACGGTATTTTTTTTATTGTTGGCCTTAATTTATGATTATTTTAAGTAATTGCTGAACCAACAAAGGTCCTGAAGCTGCTAACTTGTGTGTCCTTTTTCACTTACATTTATATACATGCATCAGTATAAGTGTTCTATGAAGAGAACCCACTGAAAATTTTTGGTTTTTGTATGTCTTAATCTCAGAATTAGAAAATGAAGTGAATCCTTGGATTAAATTGGTTTTCTAGTTAAGTCAAGAGTTGAAATTTTTTTTCACTATTTCCTACATGTATGCAAATCATGCATACCTAGTTTCTCTCGCTTTCCTTATGTGACTGAAAAACTTAAAACTTGTGTAAAAGATGTCTTTTTGGATATTTTAGCAATCAATACCTTTTCATGTCATATTCTTGGGGATTGTTTTCAAATATACTGAATACCCTTAAGGGGGAAAGAAAGAGGGCTCTAAGAGAAAACGTGTATCAAAATAATTACACTTCGAATAATCCCAAGTCTGCCTCAAACCAAATCTTGACCAACCCTTTTTCAGCCTCAAAATCTCTATTCTGATGGTTTTGAGGAAATTGGAGAGTGGGATAATAAAATGGCTCATGGCATGCTTCCCCTTGATCAAGAATGTGAAGCTTTTGGAGAGAAGATGCCAGAGCGATGCAGCATGCCCCAACCCCCCGGGGACGACTGACCCCCTATCTCCCAGGGGACATGACTGTCATTGACCGATTCTCTATGGTAATTCTGTTTCTAACATCTTCCATCAAATCCCCATGAACTCATAGTCGCTCCTCAAACCATGGAAATTTGACCCTACAAAAACATTCAAATCTCTATGCCTTTAATTACTAAAGAAACAGTTCTGATATATGTTTGCCTTAACCATATATTCCAATTGTTTTTCCACATACTTCAGAAACATAAAAGCTAACTATGCTTTGCTGTTATTAATTAATTAAAAAAAAAATTAATATCAAAATCCTTGCACTTGAAATTTATGTTTTTTGAGGGAATCTACCTGACAGATTTATTCCCCTTGTCCTTTTGTGGGTTGTGACTCAGGATAACTTTTAACTTCAGTAAGAAGTTTGAGAATTATAGCTTTAAGTTTCCTTATATATGTAAGAATATGTAATCAAACTTTTTACCTACGTACATGTATGTGAATGATGAAAGATACATGCCAAACTGTTTAAAACTGCATTGATGTTACATCTGATTTTTCATACATTTGAATTAGAACTATTATTAATCAATAAAATATTATACATTTTATCAATCTTTTTCAGACCGACGATGAGAAGAGTAAAAGTGAATCTAAGTAGAGAATTCCAAGACAAACCACATGAAGAAGGATATACATAGCAAAACCTACCACAGTGAATACTTCAGATAGACAGTTGGTTCAATGTTCTTCTTCTGTGTTTCTTATAGTGCCATTGGTTGTACAGCTGTGAATCATGACTTTTTATCTCATCTTATCCATAGAAAGAAATCAACCTCGGTGTTTACATGTTTCTTACCTATTTCGTAGATGAAATGTGACAGTGCAAGTTTTGTTTTACAAGAAAATTTGTAATCATTATCAATTTTATTTTACATCTGATAAATAAATGAATTTAATAAGTTCCGAAAGCTTTGTTTTCCTCTAAACCTTGTGCTTATTTTGATTCAGTGAAGATATGTTGTCATTTTTAATAGATATTTAACATTTGGCCGTATTTGTTTGTAAAGTATTGCTGGTGGGTATACATTCGTGCCCTAGTTTTGAAAGGAGAAATTAACTTAACACTAACTATGCATGAAGCAGTAAAAATCAAAAGTCCTGATCACCTGGAAGATCACATGCAGGTGAAAATAAGGATGCTGAGTCTCAGCTAATCAGAGAGCTAGGAATCATTCAGTCATAAATAAATTATGGATAAATGAATTACTAATTCAAACATACATGTAAGAAGGGAAAAAATTGCAAGTAAATTGTAGTATTAAACAGGTTATATCAGTTAACGTTAATTTTCTCACTTTTAACTTAAAAATTCTTCAACCTATGTAGTAAATATCTTTGTATGATTAAAAAAATAACATCACATATGATAATGTATATCGATATTCTTTTAACTTTTCCAGTAGGAATCTACTTTGTTGCACTGTGAAATCTGTATATGTTCAAGCTACTGCGGCAAAAAAAATTTAATGGATAGACAGACGGACAAAGTCGTTAGTATGAGGTCACACTTAAAAGAATCAGATAAGGGCTATTATTAAAGAAAGTGTGACTGACATTTATGCTCACTTATTGACAACAGATTTTTCCGATATTTCCTGATCATGACAAGGAGCACACGGCGGGTTTGACCAGTCGGTAGGGGATGCTCACTCCTCCATGGCACCTGATCCCATCTCTGATGTTCAAGAGGCCCGTTGTGCTCTTGTCCTGATTTGTATGGTTGACTTTGTAGCTTGAAATGAATACTGTTCGTTATTTCCAAGAGTTTCATTAAAGGTAACAGCATTTTCATTTTTAGCTCACCTGAGCCGAAGGCTCAAGTGAGCTTTTCTGATCACATTTTGTCCGTCGTCCGTCCGTCCGTCCGTCCGACCGTCCGTCTGTCTGTCCATCTGTAAACTTTTTACATTTTCGACTTCTTCTCAAGAACCACTGGGCCAATTTTGACCAAACTTGGTACAAAGCATCCTTGGGTAAAGGGGAATTTAAATTGTTAAAATGAAGGGACATATCCCCTCGCAAGGGGAGATAATCAAGAAAAGACAAAAATAGGGTGGGGTCATTAAAAAATCTTCTTCTCAAGAACCACTGGGCCAGTAAAGCTGAAACTTGTGTGGAAGCATCCTGGGGTAGAGTAGATTCTAAATTGTTCAAATCCTGACCCCCGGGGGAAGGGCGGGGCCACAATGGGGAATCAAAGTTTTATATAGAAATATATAGGAAAAATCTTTGAAAATCTTCTTCTCAAGAACCACTGGGCCAGAAAAGCTGAAACTTATATGGAAGCATCCTGGTATAGTGTAGATTCTAAATTGTTCAAATCATGACCCCCGGGGGAAGGGCGGGGCCACAATGGGGAATCAAAGTTTTACATAGAAATATATAGGAAAAATCTTTGAAAATCTTCTTCTCAAGAACCACTGGGCCAGAAAAGCTGAAACTTATGTGGAAGCATCCTGGTATAATGCAGATTCTAAATTGTTCAAATAATGACCCCCGGGTGATGGATGGGGCCACAATGGGGAATCAAAGTTTTATATAGAAATATATAGGAAAAATCTTTGAAAATCTTCTTCTCAAGAACCACTGGGCCAGAAAAGCTGAAACTTATGTGGAAGCATCCTGGTATAGTGTAGATTCTAAATTGTTCAAATCATGACCCCCAGGGGAAGGGGGGGGCCACAATGGGGTATCAAAGTTTTATATAGAAATATATAGGAAAAATCTTTGAAAATCTTCTTCTCAAGAACCACTGGGCCAGAAAAGCTGAAACTTATGTGGAAGCATCCTGGTATAATGTAGATTCTAAATTGTTCAAATAATGACACCCGGGGGAAGGGCGGGGCCACAATGGGGAATCAAAGTTTTATATAGAAATATATAGGAAAAATCTGTGAAAATTTTCTTCTCAAGAACCACTGGGCCAGAAAAAGTGAAGCTTATGTGGAAGCATTCTGGGGTAGTGTAAATTCTAAATTGTAGGAATCATGACCCCCGGGGGAAGGGCGGGGCCATTATAGGGAATCAAAGTTTTACATAGAAATATATAGGAAAAATCTTTGAAAATCTTCTTCTCAGGAACCACTGGGCCAAAAAAGCTGAAACATATGTGCCCATGGAAGGATCATGGGGTAGTGTAGATTTCAAAATGTCTAAATTATGATCAGTGGGGTAGGGTGGGGATGCATTATGTATAACAAGGGTGAAATCGGGTAAAGAACAGAATGGTCAAAGCTTCTCAGGTGAGCGATTTGGCCCATGGGCCTCTTGTTTCATTATTGAATCATTACTTTTAAGTATCAAACAAAATTTTGTTATTGTTTAAGACTTGAATAACATTTACTAGTATATTGAACAGATTCAAATCATTTTATTTCATAAAAGAAACAAACAAATTAGAAATACAGAAAGCTGTGTCATTGTTTTAAAAAACAATGAAAATTAAACCAACCTTGCAATCATTTTTTACGCTTGAATCCATTTAAAGTTCTTTTGACAACATGAAAAGGTAGGTTAAAAAAGCAAAACTTCTTCAAGGTTTAAAATTATTATAATTCTGAACTATTGTAATTAAACACTAAATATTCAAATGAAAATCACATATGCATTTATGATAAAACCTTTTTGATGTTTAAAAAGTCGAATATGTTTTCCATATTTCTTTAAGTAATGCAAAAATAATTCTGGAAATAAGTTCAAAATACAGAAAAAAAGTTTTTCTTTCTGAGAATAAATATCTGAATTCCTATTTGCAACACGAGAGCAGTTCAAGGACTACATTATTCTTGGTTTTTAATTTCTTTGTGGAAATGAATTTTGAAAAAAAAGTGGGAGTAACTACAAGTACTGAGTATATTGAAACTCCAGGGACCTTGGGGAGAAACATTCAATTTGTGTAGATTTTAAGGAAGAATATTATAATAGCAGCAAACAATGGGGACAAATTGGCAATCTTCTTCCTCCAACCCAGTTTAGTTTTTGTAAATTATATACTCGTAGGGTCAGACGGTTTCCGTATATTGCATGTATGTAATGTAATTTTGTTCACCTCTCTGGTGAATTTAAAATCACACCAATTAAAAGCAGCTATTATAAATAAACGTATAAGAAATGGAGTTAAGTTTTATACCAAATGTATAATACAAAAAGGCTTTAAGATAACTTGGAATTGACTATCTCCGAAAAATCATAACTTGTTTATTCATCCAGAAAACATTCCAATCTTACGGTCACATTTCCATTACTTGTTATCTATGCACATTGAAATTTTGCTTAGTTTTTATCGATCACTGGTGCTTGAGAACAGGCCCTTCTCTTGGTATAGACCCCGGGGCTTTTTTCCAAGACATATTTCTGAAAAATCTATACCAACAATTCTCGAAGTTACCTAAAACAAATATTTTTTAAAATGCATTGCACTCTTTCAATATAAATCAACGTTTATAGTCTGCGATGTTGCTCTCTGTAGGATTTCAATATAATATAGAGTTGACGAAGCAATTCAACGAAGATCCCCTCAAAAGAAATAGAAAACAACAAGGCATGTAGAATATTTATTGTACGAAGAATCCAATACCGTCACAGATGCTTCGGATACTGCTTTTGAACTATTTTTCTGAATGTTTGACAGATTAAAGATTCTGATGCTTTCTTCTAAATGTTACCTTTGAGAAAAAAAACCTTCTTAGGCGAAACTGCATGAATGGATGTACACTGCCATACTTGCTCAGAGGTAACTTTCCAACGGATTTGTATCAAAGTCCCATTAGGCACTCCCCATCTTAATTGTTAAAAATATATAGATGAATATTCTTTTTAACAATTAAGATGGGGAGTACCCATGCAAAATCCTGTAAAAAGCTGGATCAGACCTACATCCGGGTAATTATGGAACATTTTAAGTATTTAGAGTAGATCCATTCCTAGGTAACTACTTGAACCATTGTTGTCTAGACCTTGCTTCGAGAGATTCATGCTATCAAACATTCGGTGTGATATGTTGTCCAACACACAGATAAAAAGTTGTGATTTTAGCAGGGCATCAAAACAACATTTCTTAAATCAAGCAAAAAGATCCAAAATTTTCTTTGAAAAAATTAAGAATAATTTTTTTGGAATGGCAATCCTGAACCGTAAATCCAACTTATGCATGCTTAAAGTCTTTCACCATATTCCAAAATGTTCTGTGACCATGACTCGATGTTTTAGAAGTGTTTTAGTCAATAAGAAATGTAATTAATAATTGTGACCAGTAACTCATTTCGTTAGTTCCGTGTTAATATCAGTTTGGTTTTAATTAAAATATAGCATCTATACAGGTATTTTTTCTTTAGTTTTGACATTATTTAGACAGTCACTGTCTTTTTTTAATCAACTCCTGAATTGAAATTTGGATAAGTTTATACAATCCAAACATTGCGCTTTCATATCCCTTTTCTCTCTGTCTCAAAAATACAGTGTCATTAAGTTCCATCCTTTATTTGTCTCTGTTCTATTTGCACTTGATTTTTGACAGTAGAGCTTTACTCACTGATTCCTATTCTTAATTAGTTCAAAGATAGTAAGTCTCTTGGCCTTTAGATTGTTATCTTGGTAGTACATCATGATGAGGCACCTTTTCACTAAAGTACTCACTGATTGTTGACTCCTTTGCTTTCTAGCTACTAGTACATGATTTTCTCCCTTTTCTGTCTTTTCCATTGCATGGAAATAATTGAAACCCGACAGTAATGATTGTCAGTTCTCTTTCAGAGTACTTTTAGATGCCAGTTAGAAGTTGAAAATTCAATTCTCGACCAATCTTATTAGATTTTTTTTTTCATTTAACATGACAAAATTTGTATCACATCCCATATCAACCCGAGACTCCAATATCAGCCCGAAGGCCAGACGGCTGATATTGGTCGAGGATTTATAGTGGTGTGTAATGATAGTTTATATAAAATCTACGCAATTGCACAATAATATTAATCTAGCATATTCACACACTACATGTAAAAGCGACCCCCCAAAAAAATCATTGTACATTGAAATGGGTCTTTGCATATCCTAAATTTTGTCCCCTGCTTTTGCGAAAGCAAGGGGACATTAAATCTCATTCGTGTGTCAGTTTTTAAGTATGTCAGTCTGTCCGTCTGTCACAGAAACTTTAACCTTGGTCATATACTTTGAATGGGAAGAGATATGACTTTTTTTTATTAATTACACATATGTTTTACTTGTGACAAATCCTTTCTAGATAAACAATGATTTTTGACCCCGTGATCTTGACCTTGAAGCTTGACCTCCTTTTAAAAAATGTTATCGTAGTAGTGTAAGATACTGGTACAGTGTAAGTACATGACATCCTACTAGCTTGGGCTATTGGGTTAAACATTTAGCTTAATTGGTGGAGAACTGGACTGGCAAGCCAGAGCTCCGGGTTCAATTTCTAGCAGAGGCAACGAAATCGTTTCTGTTACATTTGGCGCCCATGTAGGGACCCGGGTGTTCTCTGGCGGGTGAGAGTGATTGCCCCAATAACTTCGCCCCACAGGTGTCGGCAATCCAAGAGAGATGAGGAAATCTCATTCTCTGGAGGACAGGGGACAATGTAGTAGTGTAAGATACATGGCATCCTCCTAGCTTGGGCTAGTGGGTTAACCCTTTAGCTCAATTGGTAGAGCACTGGACTGGCAAGCCAGAGCCCCATGTTCAATCTCCAGCAGAGGCAATATAATCGTCTTTGTTAAATTATTAATTCCATATGACTTTTGATTTAGAAGGGGATAGGGCTTTCATGTGCACTACCTGTGGCAAGATGCTAATTAAAAAAACAATTGATTTTGGTGATAACTCTTGAATGACATTTAATAGGGCGTTCATATTTGACTCTATATGTAATAAATAATGACATTCCACCCACAAAGACATCGAATTAAAGCGGGGGACCACAATTCTTTGAATTTGCTTGTTAAAGTTTGTCATGAAAGTATGCATAAAATATGTATTTTACAATTAAAAGGAAAACAGGGAGTAAATTACCTTAATATAAAACATCACTTTTATGACACACTTTGTAGTGATTAGCAGCGTTTTAGTTAAAAAAAGTGTTTGTGAAACACAGATGCCCCCGGCTGGTAGCTCATGGCGTAGGTTGATGTTTCTCAAATACCAGTCAAAATCAAAATGTTAAAATTGTTGGTATCAAGAGGATAATCTTTTCACAAGGAATACAACTGTGAAATACGAGAGGCCTTATTTGGCTAGCATTAACTGTCCAAATGTTATGACCAAGGTTAAATTTTTTACAAAGTGGGTCAAACTCTAAGGTCAAGGTCAAAAGACCAAAAATATTTATATCAATTAACAGGTCTTTTTACAATAATTCCACATGTGAAGTATGAAAATCCCTAGCACCAACTGTTCAAAAGTTATAAACAATATTATTTTTTTTTTTGTAAAAGCGGGTCAAACTCCAAGGTATATAAGGATAATGTCAAGAGGTCAAATTTAGTGGTGCCCAAAGAAACGTCTTTTTTATTGCTAAATGAATTTATTTTTAGTTTATACCTACTGGTCAGAAGGGGTAAACATGTGATTTGAATTCCTGAATTCAATGTGAAAATATTTCTTTTATTTCTATATAGTGTTTTGATTAAGTATTCAAAGGACAAGCTGATGTCAGATGACAGATTTTGATTTTTATAAAGACAGTCTGATTAAAATCAAACCTTCACTAGCTCCTTTTTATTTTGTTTATCGTGACAAACAAAATATAAAGGAGCTAGTGAAGGTTTGATTTTAATCAGACTGTTATAAAGATGATGCTTAATGTGTGTATTTTATTGTTAAAATCAAAATTAATAAATTTCAGAATCACCTAGTTTTTTTTCCAGTCTGTCGTCCCAATCTCCTATGCAGAGTTGTCGTTCGTTCCTCTCTCAGACACCTCTGCAATGGGCTCGATCACGTCAAGATTTTTGACATAACGTATAAAAAGTAATATTTGCAGGATTGTTTCAAATTAAATTAATAGTTTTGGATTAATTTAGTAAATATCTATCTGAAAAGTCAGACATAAACATATAAATTAAATTATAATGAATTAAAACAAATGCACTATTTCTCGTGCGAATCACTGTGATATACGCGAGCCAACGACAGAGGTGGATGTATGAACCGATGGTAGAGAGTATGAGCCGATGATAGAGAGTATGAGCCGATGATAGAGAGTATGAGCCGATGGTAGAGAGTGCTGTCGTCCTTGCTATTTAGCTACTAGTATTAAGAACCTAAATTGAACCTGTACATCTACTTTGAACCTGTATATCTACATTGATCCTGCACATCTACATTGATCCTGTACATCTACATTGAACCTGTACATCTACATTGATCCTGTACATCTACATTGAACCTGTACATCTACATTGATCCTGTACATCTACATTGATCCTGTACATCTACATTGAACCTGTACATCTACATTGATCCTGTATATCTACATTGAACCTGTACATCTACATTGAACCTGTATATCTACTTTGAACCTGTATATCTACATTGAACCTGTATACCGAATATCTGGGGTTTTTTTTTCGCGTGTTGGAAATTTTGCGAAAAAGGGGTAGATTAGTACAGTTTATATTTTGCGTAAGTTATTTTTTACGATTGAAGATTATTTTGTTCAAAATGGTAATGTTCTTATGTAACATTATAGCTGACATACTTTCAGCGTGTTTTATATTTTGCGAATTAAAAATGATCGCAAAAAATGCGAAAAATAGATCACCGCGAAAAAAACCGGATATACGGTATCTACATTGAACCTGAACATCTACATTGAACCTGTACATCTAAATTGAACCTGTACATCTAAATTGAACTTGTACATCTTGACTTTGTTAGTGTTATACTGTGTCAAATAAAGAACCGATTGGTTATCTATTGTTAAACCACTTGGGCCGCTAATTCCATGCTCTGATGTTAGAACAAAACTGAGGAAATGTCCGTCCTGGTCAAGGCAGTGGACAGAGTCATTCTCCATGTCACAAACAAGGATGTGTCCGTCGGAATCAACACATATTCCGTAAGGGTGGAACTCAGAACTTGACCTATGACCTTTGTAGGTGAACCGAAGGTCACCCTGCCTGTTCACAATAATGACTGCGCTTTTATCATAATCTGAAACGCAGACATCTCCATTGACGTTTTCAGTGAGGTAGTGAGGTAGTTGGAATAAGTTCTCCCCATTACAATCTCTCTCTATATTCTGAAGGATTTGTCTTCCTGTGTTATCATACCTCGTGACCCTAACCTCTCCAAATTTACTCATACCCACCAGAAGGTCTCCATTGAGTTCGGAAGAATAAATACTGAACGGTTTCCAAGCACCTGTTTCCATATACTGTAGCCATTTTCCGGATGTGATGAGTCGTGCCCCTTGTCTTGTGTTGTCCGCCATATTGATTGTATGGTTTGGTTTATCTACGAACAATAAATTACCATCTTTAGTTACTGTGTGGTAACCCTCACTCACGCCGGAAGTTGAAATCATCTGAATCAAATATCCTGTTGAATCCAATTGTGCTAGGTGCCCATATCCATCACTTACTGCTAGGTTCCCGAAATTGTCGACAGAAATGTGGTATCCATCTTTAATACCAGGGACAGTTATTTCTCCCAATTCCTTAACAATAGACATGCTACTATTTTGATTTTCTGAACTCCTGATGCTAACTTACGAGGAATTCATTTGAATATAAATTTTTAGTCCAAACACGTGCAGGCGTCTGAAAATAGTAACAAGTAGACCTAGTTAGAGAGCCACAAAAACCGATCGACACTCGGAACGTAAAAAGAATTTTTCCATTTTAATTCAGTTAAAGTGTCTTACATATCGAACACTCGAAAAAAGAATACTGAGTAGTAAGTTAGTTAGAGAACTCACTTATCGATCTCTCGAAAGAAGAATTGTAATCATTAATACATTTAAAGTATCCCACATATCGAACACTCGAACATAGAATTGTAATACAAATAGAGAACCCCATATATCGATCTTTCGGGAAAAAAAAACTGTTATACAGTTAGAGAACCCCCATATATTGATCACAGTGACTCCAAAATAGAACTGTAATACATTTAGAGTACCCACATATTGATGACTCGAATAAGAAAAATGAAATATAATACACAACCGAATTATTATACATCCCTACAGGTATCTTTTGAAATGTTTATTTTGAACGCAATGAAAACAATTTTATAAATGTGTGCATCATACAGTATACTCACAGTCATAAGCCTGGTCATGATACAGTATACTTACATGTACAGTTGGTAAGAATAAATAGATTATTCTAGTTTGACGCTTGCATAAAATGAAGGACGAATGATGTACTTGAAAGAATGTCTTCCTTGTGTATTAAGTAAACACCTTCACGGTGTTATATTTTATGACTCAGTGTGATTTCCTCGGTAACAAAATTTAAATTCCTTATTCAAATCGAAACCAGGTATTTTGCAATATTGTTGAATTTTTTTTTTAAATCTTGAGTTATATATATATATTTTTTAAAAATGCTGATAAGTGTAGATTTATATTAAAAGATTCATACTTCATAAAAAAATTTTGTTCCGTAAAAAGTTACAATTTTTTATGATGAAGAGGTTTGGAATAAAAGGTTTTTTAACAATTAAAAACATGAATGACAGTTAATGAAATATTATGGGATAGTTGGACTGAATGAATAAAACTATTTTACTATGTAATTTCATGTTCTATCTTGTTTGTATTTAGTTACATGTACATCATTTTTAATTCATTAAGAAGAATATGCACAGAGCATTAATACATCTCAAATTCTCAATATTATTTCAGAAGGAGGCCAACATTTCTTATTTAGAATGAATAATGGATGACATAGAAAGTATTCTACCCAATAACCCTACAATTCCCATAAATCCATGCAGGGAGGCAACTTTCGTCACATCCGCTTCCTCCGAATACGAGCGAGAAAGTCTGCGAGAAGTGCCATCTCATCATCGTGCCACAGAGAAATTGCACTACGCCACTCCCCCACCACGCTCACCATTGGGTGAGGATCAGGAGCCCAGATCAATCTCACAGCTCATAAACCGACGGGAGGGCTCGTTCGCATCCGACGAAGGTACAGAGGTCGAGGGATCCTGGACGCCAACGTCTGGCTCCTTAGATAACAGCAGGAACCGTGTCCACACGCCATCAGAATCTGGAAAGTCGGGTATATCGCTAGGGAACGTGTTCGAAAAAGGATTCTCCCAGAACAAGGTCGTTCCGAACGATTCGAAATTTCCGTACAGACTTCAATTGCCAAATGTGAGTATAATTTACATTAAAAAACGTCATATAATCAGTAGTATGCATAAATGATGGGACAGTTTTATCGTTATTTAAACAGAGTCAAAGGTTTACTTGAATAAGTAACTGGTTATGCATTTACAAACTGTATCACTCTGTGTCAGGATGTTCAGTATATAAGAAATTGTAAAAAAAAAATTTCATGTGTAATCAAATCAATTTTCTTATTTTCAGTACACGATATCATTGTAACAAGGGGAAATCATTAGGTCACTTGAATCCATTAGGTGAACTTAATATTGCTTTTTGTTTCCGTCCGTCCGTCGTTATGCGTCGTTCATCGTCATCCGTACATTTACATTTGAACATTTCCACCTTTTTTTCTGCAACCGCGGAACCTATATCAACCTATTTTGTTTTCCCTTTCTCAATCCCCACTCTCCACTCTCTTGACTACTCATTCTTTATCCAATATCTCTTTCCCCAAACTCTCTCCCCACTCAGTCTCTTCCAACTCTCTCTTTCCTCACTCTCCCTTCCCTCTTTCCCCATTCACTCTCTTCCCACTCTCTATCTCTCTCCCTCTAAACTATCTCTCTACTCACTCTCTCTGCCCTCTCACCCCACACACTCTTTCCCTTCCCCACTCACTTTCTCTCCCTCCTCAATCACTCTCTCTCTCCCCTCACTCCTTCCCAACTCACTCTCCCCTCTCTTAGATCCCACTTTCCCTTCCAAATCTGTCTCGCCACTATCTCGCTCTCTCTTTCTTTTCTTTTTTTTTATTCTTCTGACTCAATAACTAGGTGGATTTGTGAAATAAAATATGTATATGCATAATACATAAATGTTTCAATTTTTTAAATCATAAAAATATTGGAAAAAATACTTATTTTAAAAATAAAGAGAACAATTTTACCTATATAAGGAAAGAAAATATAAAATGTGTATTCTTGATCTTTTTATTTTAACATGGAGTTGACAAAAAAGTTTATTTGTGCAAAAAATGAATGTAATTTAAAATTATAAGGGCGATAACTTTACACAAGAGATATACTGCTTCTCAGTTCATAATTTGATCACTGCTTTATATTTTTGCGTATTTGATTTTATAGGCACGAGGAACAATATTTATATGCTTATTATATGTAAGCTTGAAATCCCAGATTGATACTATTCGTTGTACCGTTATGAAAAGAAGTGCGTCTAATTTTTAATGCCCTATATTTTCCACATATAGGGAGGGGGTTATTATTCCTAGGGTTTGACATTTACTGTCAATTTGCCTCGTTAACATTCGATTCAGTTTATTTAATATTTCTTGTTTCGTAATTTTTTTTTTTACATGTTTTACGTTGAATGTTAACCCAAATGTACTTGTAACTTGCATCATAACCCCCTTATTGTTCTACGCATTATCCGGTATTTCATATTTTCATATTGTATATAAATGTTCGTTTGGTACTGTTAATAAAACTGCATTTATCTCAGATAAGTGCATATAAAAACATCAAGTATGTATTTAATAAATTTTATTGTGGCGATAATTGGGCACGGCTGTTTATCCAAAGACTCAAATTATGAAAAGCTGTTGGTGTCTCTGGCAACACAACAAAACAAAGATTTCATAAATTAATATTAAAATATTCAAACTCAGGTTCAAAGTTCATAGTTCAAAGGTCAAAGTTCACAAACACCATCTCAGAAAGTGGTAAAAGCCTTGACCCTGGGAGGTGCAGAGGTCAAGCACTTATTTACGTATATCTAAATCCAAAGTTTACTTTCCAACTTTCATGCCGCCAAAACATGGCTGAAAGATTGCCGACTTGGCGTTAAACAATATTCAATCAATCAGTCAATCAACTTTCATGAGTTACATGACTGCATATAAGGATAATTACTTAGTGCCGCTCGTTTACGCACATCTCAGCCAGAAAGAGACGGACAGCCGTACCAGATTCTATAAATCAACATTATTGTTTTAACGTTGTGGTTAAAGGAAAGTCATTGGCTCCTGCAAAAATGGTGCATGATTTGCTCTTGGAATGAATCACTTCCATATAAATAGGTGTTCCTAACATCGCTTTCACATTAACTCAAGTCCTACAACGGTGTGAGCCCGTAGAGGTACTTGTGGTTTGATCCTCTTAACTGTTGCCTAAGACTCTAGTTTCATCTCACAAGTCCTGTCATGTTGAGACTGATATTCGCTCCAAGTCTTCCTCTGAAAGCATAAAAAACCAGAAAAGCAGCATCTATTCTAATTGGGTGTGGTGGGTGGGTGTTTCAAATTAGACAATAACAAGCTGGAAAATTTTTACAGACCCAAGATGATGCTGGAATATTGAAAAAGGAAGTTGCAACCAAAGCGACCTCAGGTGTTTTTATTAAAAGGGCAATACTAGTAATCAACTAAAATATTTGACAAGAACGATAATCACTAGGTATAAGTATTGAGACTTAGGTAAGGCAGATATGCACTTCCTTCAATAAAAGCAGCTAATTCATAGTGAATTAGCTTTTAATAATAATCTTGATTTGTTGCATGGTTCTACTCTACAGTACCAACCATAGATTTTCACTTAACGTTTTGAATGGAGAGTGTTATTAGAGGAAATGTTCACCCTTTTACAGGATTTCAAAGTCAAAATCATTCAATTTAGCAATAGATCCATTCAATCAATCAAAAAATGTAGTCAAGCTTAAAAATCGTTACAAGTTGCATGTGTGTCAAGCGCATAGGTGCCCTCCTCATGCTACATGTGTTTGTAACGTTATAGAGATTAAGTTAGTAAATTCTAAAATACTTAGAATAAACATTCAGTTTAAAGTTTGAAGGAAGAATGAAATTTATGAAAAGGACCGGGGGTGATGGGTAAGGTCGAAGCAAACATGTTCAAAATTCCTTGAAAATTAAAAAAAAATATTATAAATGTCCGCAAACTTAATTACAGGAGCAAAAGTAATGAGCACCAAACTGCAATCAGTGCATAGTTTTGGAGACAAACCAATCTTATTAGATGAAACCGGAGGGAAGTAAAGGTTTCATCCGCGTCTGTCTGTCCGTCTGTCAGCCCCAGTTGGTTTTCGGGTTTTTTTAATGCCTGCAGATATTGGTCTGGGTACATGTATATGAGTAGTTCTTAATGAGATTGCATTTAGTTGCATTTTAATGATTTTGACGGAAATACGACCAAAATTTTAAAATTCATGGCCCTTACAGGGTCCTTGTGTTTTGTTGGTGCTCATTTAATTAAATAATCATAATAGTGAAATGCATTCATATTCTTTGGAATTTTTCTCAGCTCCTAATTATTTAGAAAAACTTTAATATATGCTTATTTATATGATGCGCATAATTTTGAAGGTCATAGTCCCTAGGCCAGGATTCTATTATGACATAACTCTATCAATATTGATCATAAAGTGACTTTGACATCTTCCCTGCTCCTTAATATTTAGGCAAAGTTAATAAAGTGCATAAAATATGATGATGAACAACTTGGGCGCCTTTCCCCTAATTTTGAATTTCATGACCTCTAAGTAAGGAGTTCTGAAGATAGGACTGGGCTCCTTTGCCTTTACAGTGAAACTGCATTAAATTCTCACTACTCTTGGGTGATCAAACGACAAACTAAGTGCATGGTTATAATGAGATACGGTGCCTTTTTTGATTATAATTATGTAATTTTGGAACTCAATCTGAGATAAATGTTCTGGGATTAGGATGAGGATAAATAATCATAATCATTTAATCGATTCTTAGAGATATTATTTCGCGTTTCGTGACTTTTTTATGCCCCCGTAATTGAAGATGGGGGGAGGGGTTATAGTTTTTACCCTGTCTATCTATCCGTCTGTTTATCCGCAAAATACTTAAACCATGTGACAAGGCGTTTCTTTTGGTACCATCAGATTTGACCTTGTGGTCTTGACCTTAGAGTTTGACCCACTTTTACCGAAAATTTCCTTAACCATAGCCATTACTTTTAAATAGAAAGTGCTAGGGCTTTCATACTTCACACGTATATTCACTGTGACAAGACCTTTCTTTGGGTATAAAAATATTTGACCTTGATCTCAGCCCTTAAAAACATAAACCTTGAGCATAACTTTTGAACCGTTAGTACTAGGGCTTTCATATTTCACAAGTATATTCCTTGTTAGAAGACCATTGGGTACCAACAATTTTAAACTTGAATTTGACGTCGGAGTTTGAATGCATTTGAGAAATTTCAACCCTCTCCAAAAGCTGTCGTACGGAGGCCTCAGTGTTTCACAAACACATCATGTTTCTTCTTTATTCAGAACTGTGACCATCGGTAAAGCTCCACGAAGCTGAATAATTTTTCATTCTTTTCAGGTGAAAATAAAAGAAGAGGAGGAAAGTGTCAGAAGACAGAAATGTTATTGTTTCATTGTGACTATCGTGTTAGCAGTGTTTATAGTGGGTGGGGCCATTTTAGCCATGGTGCTGGCTGTTAATCTAGCCACTTAGTACAAACTCAGAGGAAGGGGAAAATCATTTTATACATATGCTACATGTAGTACATGTACACATGCATTATCTAAATATCGTGAACAAAGAAAAGGATAAGTCATTGTCACTGATATATTCGAGAGAAATCTTTTATGGCATGTGATGATTTTATTTTTCGTGATCCAGTATCAGCATAAAATGTTTAAATATCATGCAAGATATGATGTCGATAAATCAGCTTAATAAAATGTTAAAGTGTCAGCATATTATGTTAAAGTTTCATCATATTTTGAATGTTCTCTACATAAGGCAGCTGAGGCGTTCCATAGGGTTTTGTAATGGGTGCTAGGGCTTTCATACTTTACATAGGTAAATATTTATTACAGACCTTTCAATGGGTATAAATGTTTTTTGATCTTTTGACCTTGACCTTACAGTTTGACTCACTTTACAAAATTTAGACCTCGGTCATAACTTTTGAACAATTAGTAATAGTGCTTTCATATTTTGCAGTTGTATTTTTTTGTGATGAAGCCTTTTTCTGGATATCAACAATTTGGACCTTTTGACCGTAACCTTGAGTTTTGACTTGCATTTAAAAAAATTCAATCTTCGCCATAGGCTGCCATAGTTTCACAAACCGACGTGTCTCCACGGCGTTCTCGCCGCGTGCTACTGCGTTCCCACGGAGATCTCTGCGATTAACTGCGCTTCCGCAGATTTTTTACGGCGTGTTAGGAGTTGTCACTTCGCGTTCATGGCATTCTCACTGCCCTGGCTGCGTTCACAATATTAATTCGTTCTTCACCCGTGGATTTATATTCAGAAGATATGTGGTCAACATTTTTTCAGATTACAATGAAAAGATTTCTACTTGTGTCAAGAAATATTCTTTAATTAAAGATGATCTATTATTACAACCTTTTTTTTCAATTTTATCATTTCATATGTTTTTTATCTCTTCTTTGAGTTTACTATGGTCGAAAAAAAGCGCATTAAAAAGTTGTTATAAAATTTTATCAATTTCACCATAACTCCATTGAAACAACAGAACATCCTCTGGTGTAAATTCTTCTTCCAAATTCTACTCCCATGCTTCTGTTCAGGAGTGAAACTATGAGGCCATTGCTCTTATTTTGTGAGCTGGTTGACAACGCTCTAAAAACGCCGTGAAAGCGGATTTGTGATCGCCAATGGACACTGTAGAAACGACAAGGGAGCGCAAAAATCGCAGTGACAACTCCTTACTGTCGCTGTGTTATCGCAGTCGAAAAAATCACAAGAGGATTAATCTCATCAGATCTAGAAGCGCCGTAAAGCTCAATAGGAACGCAGTGACATCTCCAAGGACTCTGCGAGGTCTCCGTGGAAGTGCAGCTTACTACCACTGCGTTTAAACCCCTGCCACACCGGCGCTGCGTCCCGACGGCGATTGCATGGCCTCCTTCAATAATGCAAAACGCCAAGGTGAGCGCAGAAGTATTCACAGCGCTGTGACAACGCTGCGAGATCTCTACTGAACGCGGTAGGGTCGCGTAGGGAACGGCGTGGAACATGCACAAAGTACATGCCGTGTGATCGCCATCTGATAAGAACACAGTGGACACGTAGTATGATCGCCGTAGCAGCGCGGTGAGATCTCCAACAACGCAGTGGAAGCTCTGTACGAACGCCGTGAAGACGTACATGATCGCAGTCAGTAGTCAGCATGAACGCAGTCATAGTAGACTACGTTTCGATGGAGACCTCGCACAGTCCTTGGAGATGCCATTGCGCTTCTATTGCATTTTTACGGCGCTTCTGATGAGATTAATCGTCTTTTGATTTTTTTTTCAACTGTGATTGCAAAGCGACAGCAAGGAGTTGTCACTGCGATTATTACGCTCCCTTGGCGAATCTACAGTTTCCGTTGACGAACACAATTAAACCACTTTCACGGAGTTTTTAGAGCGTTGTCAACCAGCTCACAAAATAAGAGCAATGGCCTCAAAGTTGCACTCCTGACCAGGTGCATGGGAGTAAAATTTGGAAGAAGTAAAACTTACACCAGAAGATGTTCTGTTGTTTCAGTGGAGTTTTGGTGGAATTAATAATAAAATTTTATAACACCTTTTTAGTGTGTTTATTTTTTAACATTCATAATAAAATCAAAGAAGAGATAAAAACACAAATACTGATAAAATTTTAAAAGAGTTTTAAAAAAAATCAATACTTTATAATTAGTACTTAATTTTACAAATAGATCATATTAAAGAATGTTTCTTGACATAAGCAGAAGTCTTTTCATCGTGAAATCTTTAAAAAATATCACATACCTTCTGAATATATATCTAGAGATGAGGACCGCATTGTGAACATATTGTGAACGCAGCCAGCGCAGTGAGAACGCGACGAATGCGAGATGACAACTCCTAACACGCTGTGAATACTCAGCAGAAGCACAGTCAATCGCAAAGAGATCTCCGTGGGAACGCAGTAGCACGCCGCGAGAACGCCGTAGTTGTAAACGCGTCAGTCGCTGTGATATTTTCACATTATATAAAGGTACAAGGTCACGGGGTCTAAATTCATAGTGTATTTAAGGAAATCCGATCCTTAGCCAGGAAGGATAATTCCAATCAAAGTACTGAGACAGTACTGAAAGACGGGGTCAAAAATAATCTTCATGCTAGATTTCACAAATGTAATTTTTTTAAGGAGTTTTAATAACAACTTTATTTTTTCATTAACATGTTAAAAACAAAACTATGAATAATATACATTCACATTTTTCATTTAATTTGATTTGAAGTAGAAATTTTAATAATTGCTCAGTCTGGAAACCTTTCTGAACTGCTCCGAATTTCATCAGGTACGAACTAATAATTTTTCCGGAAGTAAACAATGGATGATGCGTACACAGTCATAATAATACGCAGGATAGTACTTTGTCTACTAGTGTTATTTACAGTTAATATTAATTTTCAGTTTTAACTTATCAAAATACTTTATTAGTTGAGTTAGACAAAGGTTCATATCAATTTCTTCAGTTTGATACAAAATGTTTATGTTTTGATCGAAACAATTTCTGCACTCTTTCGTATGCGTAGATCTAATTCATGTGTTATCACCACGGCTTCCTTTTTCTATTTTTAGACCTCTGAGAGTAAACTAAAAGACGGGGTCACGTGACCCCGTCTAAAAATTAATATTTAATTTGAAATTCATCAAAATGAAGCTTGAAAATGAAATTTTTCATGCAACAATTTTCATTTTATTCATCTTTATAAGATTCAAGGTTTTTGAAAGTCTTAAAAAAGGTCTTATAAAAGTTGACATTTCTACCCTATAAAAAGAAAAAAAAATACTACAGTTTTAGAGAAAAAAGATTTTCTTGAACCCAGCCTTAGATACCAATGCTTATTTGCATGATATGAAATAAGAAGTGATTTGCGGTGTCTTGCAATGATAGCAAAAGTCTTTTACACTATGTATGATAGAATACATGACGGAAATAGAAGACAAATCAAAGTACTGAGACAGTACTGAAAGACGGGGTCAAAATAATCTTCATGCTAGATTTCACAAATGTGATTTTTTTTACGAGTTTTAATAACAACTTTATTTTTTCATTAACATACTAAAAACAAAACTATGAATAATATACATTCACATTTTTTATTTAATTTGATTTGAAGTAGAAATTTTAATAATTGCTCAGTCTGAAAACCTTTCTGAACCGCTCCGAATTTCATCAGGTACGAACTAATAATTTTTCCGGAAGTAAACAATGGATGATGCGTACACAGTCATAATAATACGCAGGATAGTACTTTGTCTACTAGTGTTATTTACAGTTAATATTTTCAGTTTTAAATTATCAAAATACTTTATTAGTTGAGTTTGACAAAGGTTCATATCAATTTCTTCAGTTTGATACAAAATGTTTATGTTTTGATCGAAACAATTTCTGCACTCTTTCGTATGCGTAGATCTAATTCATGTGTTATCACCACGGCTTCCGTTTTCTATTTTTAGGCCTCTGAGAGTAAACTAAAAGACGGGGTCACGTGACCCCGTCTAAAAATAACAAATAAATATAAAAATCATGACAATTTCTCTGAATGCTTGGATAGTAATCGTTTTTTAACCTAAAATATACAATGAAGCGCATTGAAGTGGTAAAATTTTCTGTTTGGATAAAACGTTCTGAGTCATGTTTTGAACGTCAATTATAACATAATGACACGCCCATTTCTTTAGAAACGAAAAAGAAATATTCTTGGTAATGTCCAAGGACACCCCGCTCTTCGTGACAAGCAACATGAGTTACACCGAAATGGAGCTTTAAAAAAAAATTAGAAGAAAGAATTAGAGACTCCCCGCTTCTGTAAAACTCAAATTGCAACAAATATGTAGATATTTTTGAACTTATCATGTCTATTAAAGTTACCACAACACATGTTTCGGTCGAACACGTGTTTACTCGGTGTTTATTTAGACCGTCAATTTGATTGGCTATTATATTTATGGAAAACCTGTTCTACAGATATTCGAATAAACAAATTGACCGTTTTGTCCATTTCTAAAGAAATGGGCGTGTCATAAGATGACAATAAACGTTCTAAAGATAGCTCAAAACGTTCCATTCGAACGGAAAATTTTACCACTTCAATGCGCTTCATTGTACTTGTTGATCTAGTCCGATCCTCAGGTTTATAAAATTAGCAGTTAAGTAATCAAAAAAAAATACTCATAAAAGTATCTTTGAATCCACAAAGTTTTGTAAATTTATCCACAAAATTTCTTTAAAGTTAAAGATGAAAGTTAATCATATTCTAGAGGGAAAATTGTCAAATCTCCAATATTTTTGCAGAAAAAGCGAATTGGAATATAAGCAATGCATTTTCTAATTGCAAATACCTTAAAAAGGTCTTTTCACAGGTAATATACATATGAAATGTGAAAGCACTATCTCTTCTCATTCAAAAATTATAACCAATTTAAAGTAATGTTTAAATTTTTGTGAAATGAACAAGATTTCTTGGAACGTTA